ATGATATGATATGATATGATATGATATGATATGATATGATATGATATTATATTATATTATATTATATTATAAACCCTTTGACACAGCTCGGATTAAGCTTTGTACATTTCTGTACCTGTGAATGAAGGGGATGGATGCACGTTGTTCCTCCGGCTGTAAAGTTGCAGAACACCTCTACAGCATCACAGGGACAGCCTTGGTTGGGATCCATGTAAAAGTAACCTAGAAGTTTTTAATAGACTTGAACAGATTATTTCTACTTAGTGAATCTAATTGGTAATAAATCAAGCAAAATATCTGATTGATATTGACCTAATCATGCACTCACCGTCATTTAGATGTGGATATAGGAGCCTCATTTCATAACAGGTGGTGCCCGGGTTGGCTTTGGTTCCCAGGGGCCAGCTGAATGACTCTGCAGCTTCATCACTTTTGGACCATCTTTTGAATATTGGCCTGTATTGCTGATACATTTTTTTATTTTTAGCATGAATATAGAACTCAGCATAGTGTAACTAGCTCCTATATGAAAATAAAGCTTGTACCAACTTTTTGTCGTCCTTCCTTTAGTTTCGGGAAACTGGGAGATTGCACTGAAGTTGTCAGGTTAGAGCTTGTGCTTGGTCTTGTTTCTGGTTTTTGCTCGTTTCTCAGACCTTGTCCCGGTCCAGATTTTGACCCTCTTTTTTGTGTGTGATCCAGTTTACCAGGTGGTCCTGGTTGTCCCTGTTGCAGAATGAGCAAAATTCAAAAGGCAGTTCATTAGACTAAGTATCAAGTGCATTTACAGATCTGGTTGGCATAATTATTTTTTCATTTGTAAGTGGACAGCAATTTGTATCCTACCGTAGGTCCACGTTTGCCCTTGAATCCCTTTGGCCCTCTCCCGCCTTGGACACCTTTTATCCCCTATAAAGGAAAAAACAGGGTTAAACAATGAATGGAGAAAAAAAAGCTACTATATAAACTATAACAAAATCCCCATGAGACTAATCAATGTCATCTTTAACTAACAGACAGCATTATGTGCACTACAACTGTGCTTCTGTGTATATAGTTATGAAGAAAAAATAATTCATTATCTAGCACAAAGAACACAATGAAACAATAAAGATGTAAATAAATAATTTCACCTTCTTTCCGAGTTGGCCCTGAAACAAAAAAATTCATCAGTAATGTTACCAACGTGTTTTTCCTGTGAAATTTGAAATATCTGACCAACAATATCAGTCCTTTTGGGACAAATTGAATTCTTATTCTTGTTTTTATAGATAGGGGCATTTTAAAGCATCATACACTGATTCCAAAGGAGCCTCCCCTTCCTGGTGGACCACGAGGACCCTTGTCACCCTGTGGAACCATGAAGTTATTTGATAACTATTACTCGTCGCAAATGTTCAAAATGCAAAAGTCCAAAGAAAAGCGTTACTCACGGGCTTTCCTTTCTGACCCGTTGGGCCTTTTAAGCCCTGCAACCCAGGGTTCCCCTACAATTACATCCCAAAACGTGTCAGACAACATCCCATCAAATCCTGCTTTCACACATCTGCATGTTTTTTGTTCGTATTTCAAACCTTTAACCCCGGTGGACCCACTGTTCCGAGCATCCCCATGTCGCCTGGGGGACCCTGTGCAAAAAAACATACAATCAGACAAACTAATAGAATTAATAAGAAACATGATGCTACTGTATAATCCTGATTTCAAGCATTGGACATTTTTCAGTGTTTACAGTAACAATCCAAAAAATATGCAAGCAACAGTTTTATCAAGACCATTTATTTAAAGTTTTATATGTAAGCTTTCCATACATCATCACAAAAATGTTACAAACAAGGAAATCAATGAATGAATCAGATATGTGTGTGATATATGATTTAGGTTTTTTACCTTCCTGCCAACACTTCCAGATTGGCCCTTCTCTCCTACCAGTCCAGGAAGACCCTTTATAACATTTGATGTTACCATCATAAAGATGTCCATATAAAGAAACAATGTATTTATTTGTACTGATATCCATATTCTGCAGTAAAACATATGATCATACCTTTGGCCCCATTGGCCCAGGAGGTCCATGTTTTCCTTTTTGACCCGTTTTTCCCTGAATAATTCAGATCCAGAAAACACCTTTTTTAAATACCTATTCATGATAATAATATGTTTGATTGTAGTCACCTCATATGAAAAATGTCTAAACTAAATAAAGTATTTTTAGTAAGAAACTTGACGTCATACCTTAAGCCCTCCGGATCCCCTGTTACCTCTAATCCCAGGAGGCCCAGGTTTTCCCTACATTTTCAACATGTATTTAATACCACAACATCCATCAGGCAGCATATCTCATATGTGAGAGCATTTAGTCTTCTTCACAGGGCCACCCATGTCCGGGTTGAGCTTACCATCGTGCCTTGCTTGCCTGGAGTTCCAGCAGCTCCTCTGAAACCAGCATCACCCTTTGGACAGAGCAGGGGAGAAATAAAACACCCCCCAAAAAGAAACACACTGAATTGAGCTATTCCAAACCTTTCTTACCGGATCACCTTCATTCCCCTCAACTCCCAGCAAACCATCCAAGCCACTCAGACCCTGAGAAGAAGATGAATAAACATCAGTGGTCAATTCCTTATCTATCAGGAATATCCGTTTGTGCATATTAGAGAGGAACATTTCTGTTCATCATGAGGGATACTTGCAGGTTTTCCAGGTGGTCCAGAAGGTCCAGTCCTCCCTGGCTGGCCTCTAGCTCCCTATAAAACAGATTCCATTAGTTGAGCATAAACCGATTTATTTAGAAAGTTTAAGAGTGTAGTAGTAGACATTTTGTCATACTTTGATATCTAAGGCACCAGGCAGCATTATAACATGATATGAGCAAAGTGTTTACAATTAAAACACACTTGTTACTGGGTTTAAAACAGGCAGTGCAGATAGAAACCTTTCATACCCATTTTCCACATTGTGAGATACTTTTGACTCTCAGTTGTAGAATTCTAGGGAGATTTGGGGTAAATTGAAAGTGAATTGATGATCTTGTGTGGATGTGTTTTTAGTCTATCTGGTCATTTGTCCTGACCTTATATCTATTCTGTGGTGATGTATCACGATTCACTTTAGACTTTAAGGAACAAGAGAATTCTGTGAAATAATCCAAAGGTCTGAGATATCGAAGCCATTACCAAGCGTAATCATGGGTTTGTTGATATGACAAGTGGATGTATCAGATTTTCTACACTGTGGGAGAAGAGCTGTTTGCAGCCACGCCCTGATTCCAAACATAATTTATGCAAATGTGAGTAACATCATATTGCCGGTCACTGCTTGTTTTGTCACACCACTTCTGTGGCTGCAAAAACAAGATGTTTTTTTGACTCTTCACCTCACTCAGCACCACATGGATTTCTGCCTCGGTGAATTGGTGCTTCTTTACTCTTATCTCTGTGGTTGCTATTGGTAACCATAGAATAACATTGACCATCTGGCTTATCTAAACACACATTGATACTCATGAGGTGCTGTGCATCGATCTGTCATGCCTGGGGGATTTTATGGTGTTTTGTCCTGTCTCCATGGTTGTCTTGTCATTTCCTGTTTTATTTTGAAAGGTACATCCCCTTGTTTCAGGCCTCTTGCACTCCCCTGTGGGCCATGTGTCTGATTGTCTTCCCTGATCACAGATTGTGTTTACCTGGGGTTCCCTTCCTTTATGTTTAGATAGTCTCCGTCTATCCTTGTCTGATGCCAGTCAGTGAGTATTATTTTGGTACTTTATTAGCCTCTTTGCATCTTTGTTATCAAGTGTTATTGTTTTATACTTTGTCAACAGTTTCGTTCTGCCTCGCAAGAGAGATTATTTTTGGATACTTTGATCATAGCTTTGTCTGCCTCGTTTTCTTGAGTGTTCTTATTGAGTACTTTGTCTTCCACGCCTTTGTTTAATTAAAGTTTTTTTGCAAAAGATCTTTGCAACCAAGTCCTGCCTTGAGTTCCCATTTCTGACACGATCACTATGGCTAAAAGTGGGCGTGTAGAGGGTGGAACACATGCTGGAACCTTGTTGAAGTGCAGCTGTGATTTATGAAGGAGAAAAGAGTGCTCTTGTGCATATGCAAAGTTTTCGATATTTGGATTTAAAAAAAAAACTTTTTGGGGCTTTTGCCATTTCCAGCTTTTGGGCATACATAAACATTTAGTATAGCTTCTCTTCAAGCATTGTATGAATTGTTTGCCTCTGGATAAGTGATATTGATGAACACGTTCCCTGTGAAAGGAAACTTGACTTTTGTCACATATGCAGTTGTTTCTGGTGTCAGACGGGGTTGGCCTGCTCTTAATGTGCTTATTGCCACTGATTTTAAGCTTGAAGAGTAACGCTGCTTTGTCTTAACTGCCTTTGGGACATCTTATCCTGTAGGAGACGGTAAACAAGGACACTTGACTCTGACGATAATCTGAAGGTCAGAGAAAACAGCCTGCTCAGAAGGAAGGCTCCAGAATCTCTCCACATCTTTTTGGCATTCAGAGCATCCTGTGTGTCGTACGGTGGTGCTTTAATGCTGGGCAAAGTCTGATTTGAATAACACTGTTATCCCTTGACCCCTCAAGAAAAATACTTTTTCATCTCAGTGGCAAATTTCCACAACATCCCATTCTGAAATGATTAGAGTTTCAGTGTCAGAATGACCCGACTACGTGGCTCCTCGAGAGCCTAAACATCCTGGGGCCTCTGGGAGGGGTTCAGACCAGCTTTCCCTATATCAAAAGCTGAAGATTACCACTTGAGATTGATTTAAATTATTTTATTTGGTTATTAACATTTTTTTTTTTTTGTATTTTTGTTATGACTAGAAATACCAAAGATTTTCCAATAACACAAGTATTCAAACCTTTTCTGCAAGCATATCTGGCAGCAAAAGCTTCATCCTTTTGAGAATATCCTCCATCTTTGCCCACCCTTTTCTCTGGAGGATTTTTCCACTATTCCTGGGGTACTTCTTCAAGGTGTGATTGGCTACTCACATTACTTTAGGCTCTTTTGGATCTCTCCACAGACTTAAAAAATACTTATTTTTAGGTCATTATCTTAGTGAAATAAGCTCCTATCCTAACTATCCTAACTTGTCTCTGACAATGTAGGAAAGCAGCTCAGTATAATAATGCTGGTGTTAATATTATTTAACTGTTTTTATGCGGTAATGCGCATCAGATAAGTGGATTTTTCTTCTCATGTGAACCAGATCACAGAGCTATTCCTGTGTTTTTTCACAAAATCCCTGCTGGCTGTCATGTGTCTGCTGGTGAGAAATGGCTTCTGTCTATACACATAAAGACCTGATTGAGTGAATGCTTCATCATATTGCTGTCTCCTCCTCAAAGAAACTCTGGATCTCGTTCATCACTAGTATACCTTCTTATTAATTCAATGATTTGAAGGAGCATAATAGGAATGACCAAAAGTAGTATAACCTAAATTCCAAAATGGTTAAATGTCTAAATCAGGTTACTGATATGAGCAAAGCGTGTGTCAGTTACATATTTTGTGATCGCTCTTTTTTTCCACATTTAAATTAAAGATTGCATTTATTTTTTATGTGCTTTTTCAGGGCAGCTGTAAGAAGAAAAGAACTCACAACTTTCCCAACAGGTCCTTTGGTCCCTTTCTTTCCAGGCTTTCCACTTTTCCCCTATGCAAAAACACAAGAGTTTCAATTTACAAATCAACGTTAGCAATAATAATTGACTAATTACATTAATTTAAACCTCTGTTTTGCTATTCTTCTTACCTTTGGTCCCTGGATTCCTTTGTTTCCACGAGCACCTGGAGGACCAGCAGGTCCCTGCTGACCTTTAACCCCTTGTGACCCTACTGACCCTTCTTTTCCCTGTGCACCCTAAATGTTTAGGAATGTCCTATTAATACTATTACACTACAAAATGAGCATTGATGAGAAGAGAAATCCAACAGCTGACAAAATATAAGACAATACAACTACACATGCCCAAAAATGTGAAAATTAAAAGTAATGCTGTTTACCACTCTGCCTCGTGTCCCAGGTTCTCCCCTTGCACCTTTTTGGCCTTTAATGCCCTTGTGAAAACACACAGTTAAATAAAATGCGTTGTGTTTTTATGGATACAGCTCCAGACACATCATTAGATATGACTGACCAAACTAAGAAAGTCCACAGTTTGAAACTAAATGAATTCTTACCATGTGTCCCTTAACACCCAGACGGCCAGTTTTGCCTTTCATACCTCGACTGCCCTGAATGATCAAAAGAGCAGACACTACATATCAAACATACGCAAACCTACATCAATTAACTGGGAAATAGATGCATTTTTCAGGATGTTTAAGATTGAACGGAGCTAACCTTTGCTCCTGAGATTCCGGCTTTGCCCTCATGCCCCTTTTTACCCTGCAAACCCTAAAAATAGAAAATTTGGTTTATTTTCTAATTTGAGAGTGCACATTGAAACGATTTTAAGTCAAATTAAACAGCATCCCCAGTCCATCCCCAGGCTTGAAGCCAGATTACAGTATGTTGTGTGTGGCAAACTAGATAGGTTGTACAGAAAACAATACCTCCAGAGAAACAATATATGTTAGCTTTATATTAAATATCTGCTGTTTCGGCAGTCATGTCAATTACACCCTATCAGTAAAGAGTACGACCATGTGTAACTCAGATGTGCAATTCTAACCATTTATGTGCTGCAAATAATTCATATTTAAAATAGCACACTACTGTAAATGACTTCAAACATACAGATGATGCTGGTCCCATTGGTCCAGGAGGACCTATACTCCCAGGTGGGCCCTAGAATAAAAAAAACACAATAATTTCCAGCTGTGAGTCAAACATACATTTATATTTGCATTTATTAACACCGTATGTTGGATAATCTGATAGATTCTTAGTATTTAGTGTACACACAACATTTCTAATGATGTCATTAATAAAAGAGTCCCACTCTGTTACTGACCGTGTGTCCCTGTGAGCCCTTCTGGCCTTTGGCTCCTGCCGCCCCAGTGGGTCCCCCCGGTCCGAACCTCCCCGTCCTGCCCGACAGACCCCTGGAGCCTGGCACACCCTGTGAATGTTTCATTCTCATCATTCTCATCATCGGTCCCACCTCTCAAACACGGTAAAAGACTGGCCAATACGCAGCACACTGAATGACATCAGCCCCTTGCTGTTGCTTTCACGTTTTGGGGTTTAATTTTCAGATTACAATGTTTACCTTTGGCCCTGCATGGCCTTGCCTTCCTCTGTCTCCTGGAGCACCCCGGTATCCCTAGCAGAGGAGAAAGGAGGAAGAATATCTCACACTGAAAATGATAAACACACTCAGTAGGTGTCAGGGGTCTGTGGTTGTACTTTGATTTAGATTGGACAGAAATCTCTTAAGTTTACCTGTTTCCCGGGTGGCCCCTTTGGTCCACGTGGACCTTGTTCTCCTTTCCCCCCTTCAGCTCCATTTAGTCCTTTCTGCCCAGGAAGTCCACTGTTTCCTTTATCGCCCTGAAATGAAGGCAAAACTGAGCATTTTTCAAATTCTCAGAAAGGCAGTGGTCTGAAATAAAAACAGAATTTCATCTATAGTTACTCACAAATGTGCCCTTATTGCCCACTGTCCCCCGCAGTCCATTTGGTCCAACGGGACCCTGAACACAAAAGTAGGGAGGTCTTCACACACGTGGTCAGGGTGAGGATTGCATAGAGATTTATATCACTGTGTCACATTGTACTAGTGGAGTTTGGAAAAGTATTCTTCAAGAAAATGTAATTTCACTTCAATACAAAAATCAATAAAGAAAATTAAATCTGATCAACACAATGTAATCAGTCTACCTCCTCACCATCGAGACCAGCAACTCCCTTCTCCCCCAGAGCCCCTATGGATCCCTGAGGATGGCAAATAGGGGAAAATAAAGCTAAATAATGGTAAACAATTAATGTTTTGAAAGAAAAAATATATATATAAGAAGCCAAAACAGACTTAGCAGAGGATCTAGACCTTATTGCCCTTAAAACCAGGTGATCCGGCTGGCCCTTGAGCTCCATCTTTACCCTGTGAGAGGAGAGGGAAGGAGAAACACTCATTTTCTGGAAAGATTTGCTAAATGTCTGTAAGCTTGTTGCCCAGAATCCCAACTTGTTCCTTGATCTTGAAAACGATTACAGCCATTGGCAGATTCTGACTGTCTCTGCTGAAATAACTTATATTCTCGCAAGAGCATTAAAAAGACTCTCAAAAAGAAGCTGGTGCTCATCAAACACCAGATTATAGTTGAAACGAGGCCAAACTAAACTGAAAGAAGCGCTTTGTTTGCTCTTCAGTTCAGAGTCAGTCAGCAGCTGTCACAAGAGGACTGGTGTCATCCAGCAGATTAGCAACACTTAAAAGCAATTAGCCTTCAAAATGTTTGACCTTTCATGGCAAAAAAAAAGGCTTTTTGAGAAAAAAGTTTAGCTAAGAACAACCAAGCCAGTGTCAGAACTATTTGCAAAACCCAGACGTGATGTAATGGAGCCGTAGCGGGGGGGGTCAGCAACCAAACCACTACTGAGCTTCAGGGAATCCACCCATTGACCTATCTACTCATCCATCTATTCATCCATCTAGTTATTCATCTATTCATCCATCTAGTTATTCATCCATCTATCTGCTGTACCGACTTTAAACAATGGAGAGTAATGAGAGGGTGAAACCTGTCCATCAGAGAATGGGTGAAAAAAGCTTAAAGAATGAATGACAGGATTCCAATAAATCTTACACCATCAGACAATTGTGATGAAAAACAGCAGTTTCCTGAACAAAAACAGTCTGAAACAGGTCTTACAGGATATCCTCTGACTCCAGGCGGGCCGACGGGGCCTCGTGTTCCTGTGTCCCCCAGAGCGCCACGCGGTCCAACCCCCCCCCACGGCCCGATGTTTCCCTCCACGCCCTGCAGAGAAAGCACGCGCTCACAGGGACAGGACAGATCATACGAGGTAAAAATAATGTAACGCTGTCATTGTACGTTTAGGGTCCTAACATTCATTTGTATATTCAACTATATTTTGTGGATTTCTATTGGATAGTCTGTAATCAGGATGTTGCCACACTATCCAGGTCTCAGAAACTGGACTTTTGTTTTAATGGACAAGATGAGGTGAATAACTCCAGTTGATTAGAAAACTATTGGTTTAACTTTTATCAGTCAGGATTTTCTTTAGCATAGGTTCTGGTTTTCTGATCACAGCTTCATGAGCATAATGGCAGATAAAACAGCCTCATTTTCCCATCTCATTGGATCTTAAATCCAATGTCAGGAATGTCAAGATGTCATAACCTTAGTGATAAACATAATCACTGAATGTATATGGATAACATGGTAAGCTTTTTATGCTTCTCCACAGTGAATGGATGACAATGGGCCGGCTATACAAGTGCTAGACAACTATACTGTGTGCATTTTCATTTTCATGCTTTTTCAAAAGCTAAAATAAAAACCACAATCAAAATGAAAAAAAGGATTGGATTCATGTTTGGAAGGATTTAGTTATGGAAGTTATCTTACAGGAGATCCTCTGTATCCTTTGGGTCCAGGTGCACCGACCTCACCCTGATGATGACAAATCATGAGAAAGAAATCACTTCAATTCTCACGACAATACATAGCTGTGATAACAGTCAGTGTGACTTACTGCAGGGCCTTGCTTTCCTCGCGGTCCTTCCTCACCTCTTTTACCCTTCAGAAGTTTAATATCACATCAACTTAGCTTGAATACTAATGATTCATGAAAAAATACAGATTGTATAAAGATAAAAAAACATTCCTACCTTCAATCCTGTACTTCCCTGAGGTCCACTCTGGCCCTGTTTACCTGCCACCCCCTAAAGGAAACCAAACAGTGTATCTGCATGTGTGTAGGATGCACTTTGTTTAAAACAGGTCACATGATCCCCATTTTCTGTACTTCCTGCATGGGATCATCAAAGAGGCTCTGTTGGTCCCCCCTCATCCCTGTAGTACTGTAACATTATGCAGTGTAGCTATTCCAAAGGCCACAGGGTGATGGTTTGTTACTCACTCTGTCCCCCGGTTTTCCTGGTGCCCCCTTCTTTCCTTCACTTCCAGGTTCTCCCTGTACAATCGATGCAAAAGTGGAGCAATAGCGGTTTATTGTGACAAAAATGTGTACGTAAACACTCCTTATGTTCAGAATGAGGGTATACTCACACTCTTCCCTACAGGGCCTTGTCCACCAGAAGCTCCAGTTTTCCCAGCCAGTCCCTGTGGAAAAGACCAGATCATGAAACACACATTTGTGGCTTGGTCTTTTTTCTTTTTTGTAAGGGTTTCAGAGGTGGTTGCTCCCAGGATCTATCTGAAAACCCAAACCCTGAAGAAGCTTTCCTGTCGAAAATTTGAGAAATTTGCCTTCATTTTATTTCATTTCTGCGAAGCGATGATGTTCTACCCTGCACAGTAAAGTCTAAAGCGTGCTCTGTCTGGCTGTGCTGCGCATCTGATTCATTGTTATAAATGTTCCAGAAGATGTCTGAGTCTTGAGGTTCCCTCCCAGCACAATTAAACCCATCCCAGAATTAAAAAAACGTAATGGCAAGCAGATAGGACTGTTCAGGATTTAAGGTGCAGTGGTGAACGCACCCTCTGTCCAGCAGACCCAGAATCCCCATTTGTCCCATTTGCACCAACTGGCCCCTGTTAGACAGAAAAATATCAGATTAGATTATTATACGTATGCCCCAAACCTGTCATGTGCACTTACTTATGAGCTGATAACAAACTAATTGTTACTTCTTTCTTTTGTCCTGAGGACATGAGTTGAAGAATTTCAAATAAAAAGTTCAGATTTGCAACATTCTTGTGATTTGGAGATAAAGTGCTTTGAAAACGAACCATTAACCTAAACGCTTAAAAACTACAATTTTATTTGTTTAATTTTCATCTCTATCAATGCTAAATGAATCGGATGAAAAGCAAAAGTTTAAGTCATGACATACCAGCAAACCCAAGAAAAGTAATAATTATTTAGCTGGGAGGCTCACATTACAATATATAATAAAATAGCTTTTTCTGGGTCTAAAGATTAAATGCAGCATTTACACAAGATTAGAACCTTGGAATCTTGTGTCTGTAAATACTTATAAAGGAATCCATCATACCTGGGCTCCAAGAGGGCCATCTTGTCCCCTGTTGCCCGAAAGACCTTGAAATCCCTGCAGTCAGCCAAAACAATGTTTTCTTTCTTTTGTTAGTGTGTTGGGTCAGGTACATACAAATATCAGAATGTATTTACATTTATTGGCTAAAACCTAATCTCAAGAATGCTACGTCTTCTTCTGGCTACTAGTTATAGCTGATGTCCCCGTTCATAATGAAAGTTGTGGTGAGTTTGTACCTTCAGGCCTTTAGATCCTCGCTCCCCTGGAAGCCCAGCCATTCCCTACAAACAGCCAAACAGCAGAGATGAACACACAGCCAAACAACAGAGATGAACAAGCAGACTTGGGTAGATTAGCTTTGAGAAGGGAGGCCACTGACGGATACACCCAGGTGGTTTATGTAATTATTGCAAATAATGTAAATAAGGGTCCCGACTGTATCTGGATGACAGGAGCATCAAGTTATTTTTTAATCTTTAAATCCTTATTGGTGTCTGAAGCTTGTGCTGGACTGAAAGTATGAATACCAGCTATAGAAAGACCCCCCCCATTGAAAATGGACCTGAAATGCACAGGCAACTGATCAGGATATTGTAATAAGATTAGTGTTTGGAAGAAGTCTTCTTTTGCCATACTAATAGCCAAGAAGGACTGAAATCTGAGGATGCAATTAGAAATAAAATAGAAGGACTTGTATAGCTGTGAGGTGGCTGACAGTGTCACCTCACGGGAAAACAGTTCCTGGTTCTTATCTCCTCTCCCTGTTTACACATGGATAATAAAACAGGAAGTATGGTCACATGAGCACCTTTACACCTGGTTTTCCACGAAGTCCCGTCTCTCCTGGTTTTCCGATTTCTCCCTGCGAGCCCGAAACACAACTCCATTAGTGTTATAAATTCACAACATCAGCATTTGAATTAGACTCATTTTGCACTCACTTATACTCACAATAAGACCAGGCAACCCCGAAAATCCCACCTGGCCTTCACGACCCTGGACATAGAGAGTAGCATACAAAACAAGGCTCTGTCATTTATCCTGTGTTGTTGCTATAAATAGGCCAGTGCAGTGTATAGTCTTTAATTGTTATTAAATCAGTCATTTCCAGCTAGTGTATGTGTGCTGGTACTTTCTGCTAATGCCTTTAATAATCTAGCATTTATCGTAGGTCCACCTTGTTGCCTCTTAGCCCAGAGTTTCCTTGAATACCAGTTGGTCCTTGATTCCCCTGCAACAACAACACACCAGTGGACACCATGAGTCTTTGTGCAAAGGTCTACACAGTCTCATGTTCAACCGACAATGCATCCACTTTTCCACTCACCTTAGGTCCATCTTTTCCCTGTTTCCCCTGCTCTCCCATGATGCCATCAGACCCCTACAGCAATGTAACGCAAACAACTTAATGATTACGGTTAGTACAACATTACCATCCTCCAGGGATGTCTGACTCACAGCAGGTCCAGGAGGCCCCGGCGCCCCTGTTGGACCCTCAAATCCCTGCAACCCTGTGGAGCCCCGACGGCCTTTAAATCCTCGTTTTCCTGGAGGCCCCGGAGGCCCCTGTGCACAAACAGAAATCCGTGAGCTGATTCCCTTAAACTGATCTACATACGGCTGAGGATCCAAACCCACCAGGTCTCCCGTGAACCCTGGATCTCCCCTCCCGCCTCGCCTGGCTTTAGCTCCCTGTTAGTGTCACACAGACACATGCAGACAACAAGAAAGGTACAATTTGATTTCTGCAGTTAGGACCAAGGCTTTGAAATGAGCAAATAATATTTATTAGATTAAAAAACTGTGTTAGCTTTTCAAAGAGAATACAAATAGCAACTGTTAAGAAATGGCCTTAAGTAATCTTACGGGATCACCTGAGGGTCCAGGCTTTCCTGGATTCCCATTAGCACCCTGCAGAAGAAACAACACACTATTTGTGAGTCTTCTCTGGTCATCCTCGTTTCTGGTTCTGACTTCATCGTCTTACATTAAGTCCTGGAGGTCCTTGCTCTCCTATTTCACCCTCATCTCCTGGATCCCCCTGGTAAACCAATCAAAAGACAGAAAACCATCAGAGAAAGAACGGATCATTTTCTGTTGGGATCTACTTTAGTTCCATTTCATCTTTAGCTTTGTAAACTTACAGAATCACCTTTGGGACCTCGAGGTCCATTTGGTCCTGGTTTTCCCTGTAAGGGAATAAAGTGAGATATTGTTTTTCATCCAGAAGAAAATAATCCACATTCCATCCACAACTTTTTATAACCCTGAAGTTTAAACCCAATTCATAAAACAACAAATGGAATTAAACTCACTATGGATTCACAACTTTTGAAAAATCACTGAGCATTTATTCTCATGGCTTGATAGAAAGAACATTTTTAGACGTACCTGGGGACCCCGGACACCAGTAAACCCAACTGTTCCATCTGGACCAGGCTCTCCCTGAAACAATGAAGGAGGAACACAATAGTTTCGGCATCCCGCATGAGGACATTTACATGTAGAGACTGGAAACAATAACGATGATTTCAGGTTGGACATCCTTTCAAGCTAACTATTTTCTATCCCTGTTACAGATTACAATGCTAAGTGTTACCTGTGGTCCAGCTGGTCCTCTGTTGCCAATTTCCCCCTGGTGACCCTGAAAGAAGACAGACGTTTCCCATGAAGACGATCTTTTAAAATACACTCAACATTTGAGGATTCTAACTAAGTGTGTACTTACTGGAGGTCCTTTAATTCCTAAATATCCTTTTACTCCTTTGGGGCCAATTTTACCCTAAGGACAGAACATGTAAACAGAAATTATTTGATTATATTATAGTGTGTCATCATTCTATCAATCCGAATTATAAGTAGGACATTTCTGTCTTACAGCTGGTCCAGGTGCACCACTAAAGCCAGGAGCTCCTATCTCTCCCTGCAAAGCAACAAAAGCCCCCATTAATATGCATGTTGACGAGGATGAAGGTTTTTTTTTAATTAGGTTTTTTTTATTTTCAATCCACCCACTTGAGGCCCTGATGATCCTGGGAAACCGCGAGGACCTCTACCTCCAGGAACCCCCTGTAAATATGAGATTATTCGATTATTGCAGTGATTACTTAAACAGAATGCCTAAAGTTATCATCAGCTTTGAAATGCAAAGACAGAGAGCCACGACGGAGAAACAGATAGTGGTTTGTGCTTACGATGTATCCAGGGATCCCAACAAAGCCTCTCGCTCCTTTATTTCCCTGATTGAGGCAGAACTCAAATCAGGATTACCTAAAGTAACTCCACTTGAAATCAAAAGTGTGTATGAGGAAAGCTTGTTCTTACCTTATCTCCTTTTTGTCCTCTACGTCCCTGTATTCCAGCCTCCCCCTGATAACCCTAAATACACACAAATGTTACAAAAATATGACTTTTTTAGTCAACACACAACACTGATATGCAGTGAATAGCTTCAGAATATTTTATGAAAAACATAAGTCTAAGTTAGACACATGGTTATCCTCTTTAGATAACTACCAAGGCCCAAATGGTTATTGATCTTGATAATACAGGTTGTCCAGGGCACTCTTACCCACTCACCCAGCTCCCCTTTGCTGCCCATCTCTCCTCTGTAGCCTTTGAGACCCTTCAAAGACAAAGATCAATCATTAAACATGCATAAATCAAACTACAGCCAGAATTATATGCCGTCTGTCATTTAAACGCATAATTCAAAATATCTTTTATAGCTACTTCAGAGTTTCACATGATTTATCTGGAATTTCGGTCATGGATAGTTTCAAATGTGCATTTTTGATACTGTGCTTTGTGTGATTAAGATGAAAAGATCTTTATAAACTTTTGATTTCAGTTCTTTGATATATTCACCATCTCCAGTGCCAATACGCAATAAAACAACCCCACATTATGATGGTGTCTCCGCCGTGTTTTACTGTTCTATTCTTCATGGTCATTACAGATATCTACACAGTTTTTTACTAAATAATGATACAATTGATAATATTGATAATGATTTATTATGATTATTATGATTATTATGTGCTTAAACCCCTGTTCTTATTTTGTGTTCAGCAACAGACTAAAGCCATCAGCTGGGATGCTATGTTAACACAATGCTAGTACTAGTACACTCTGGACATTGCATTTTGGTTAATTCACATTGGCTGATTTGTTTTCAATCAATTCTGATGTGATATTACGTTTTATACTTAAATATCATAACTGTGTAAAGTAGTTAAAACTCTCAGAAATTCAATCCGCTTTGTGGACAGCTTTACCTGATCTCCAGGTAAGCCTGGTGGTCCTGGGTCACCATTCTGTCCTGGCGGTCCGTCCCTTCCAGGCCTTCCCTGAGGACCTGGTATACCTTGTGGACCAGGACTGCCCTGAGTACGATGGAACACGCTTATCTTACCACATCTCTTTAGAACATAACAGTGACAACATCAGAAACCAAAGTGAAATCACCTCCCACCCCAGAATACTATCCATCTTTCTGCCAGGTAAAACCTTGGCAACATGCCTTTGTCCTCTGAAACCACTTAAACCATACAAAAGTCACCCATAATTATGATATTATCCATTACCCACAATGCAAAACATTAAACTGTTCACAACACTTTGGCAAATGCATTTTTATATTTTATGTTCTTTGGCTGAAGAACATCCTATACCATCACATCCTTTATATCATGCTATTTTAAAGAAATGGAACACTCTGATAGTAAAAGAATTGAGATACCCACAGTTTTGCCCTCAGGCCCTTTTGATCCTTGCCTTCCAGTTATTCCCGGAGGCCCCTGGACACAAAAAGAAGTATCAGATATGTTTACTGACAGCAGCAATGTTTGACAGAACTGTACAGTGTAAACTAATCATTTGACACAGTCTGATTGAGGCATTCATCTGCTTACAATTGGTCCATCTTCACCAGGAGGTCCAGGAGGGCCTGGAGGCCCTTTGCGTTTCTATGGAGCAAAACATTTGTGGTAGAACAGGAAAAACATTTATTTATCGAGTACAGAGAGCAGCTCAAGGAAAGTAATATTTTCTTTCTTTCAAGGTCGATATCTTTGTTAGAAGTAGTTCACATCTCAAAGTTATAGCACTTAAGTCAGCTGTGTAGAGATATGGGAGAGTAGAGACTCACAAAGATGTTTCAGAGAATTTATTGATTAATCAAATATTAATAGACCACTACACACTACTGTAAATTGTGCAGGTTTCTTTCTTTCTTTTGGTTGATCTCACTTTGAAATGGACACTTCTCACCAAAATGAAAGTCCTCAATATGTTAATTTAAAACACTTTGAAATGTTAAAATAGAAAGGAACATTAATCAAGAGTGAAGAATCTTTGGGGAAAATAGGTTTGCACAGTTGGGAACCTTCTTTTCTAATCTATATTAAATTTAGTATACACAAAAACAACACTTAAGATTGGCCAGCTGTCACTGGACTAATCAAAAGTTGAAAACCTGATAATATACATATGAACATTCAAATTAAAACATTAAATATAATAGTTGGCATCTACACAGACTAATCTTCCATAAGGTCTGTGTGGTGCTTTAAAATTTTGCTTTCTAGTTTTGTTATCTAATCTTTAATAAGCCTATCACAGCTTTGCAATTAATCTATCATGACAACATCAACAACTTGTTGTTATACAGCTTATTCCCTGGACAGGTCCCCAGTCCATCACAGGGACACAGAGACAAACAACCATGCACACTCACTTTCACACCCAGGGGCAATTTGGAGTGTCCAGTTAGCCTAACATGGTGGGAAAAAGGCAGAGAACCCATAGAGAACCCACTCAGACACAGGGAGAACATACAGACTCCACCCTGCGTTTGCAATAACGTCAGGAATTTTCTGTTCCTTCCTTTACCTGGAGCTGCAATAAGAACGCTCTTTTATCCGCAATGCTTTATTCTTAGAGATGTATTAGTTGTGAGCTCTCTCTGACTATGTTCAGAATCTTTGTGTTTGCCAGGTTTAATATGATTTATACAGTGATGATAAAAACATAAACAAATCAGTAACTGCCCCCATGGAGTCAAACAAATACCCACCGGCCAGGAAGAAACAAGCTTTTTGTAGATTTTCTTTTTCTGCAAGTAAACGTAGGGAAAACATTCTGTTATGTACGTTTATGTCATGCATTTAGTTATACAAAGGGAATTACAATGCAGATATACAGATATATCCCCAAGTGAAAACCTTAGAATTCTTTAAATGAAAAATGCTACTTAAGACCACAGAACATAAACATAAATAGTCAGATTAGCAGGAATCAGGTGAATTAGCAGGTCACTTATTTAATCATACTGTGTCCCTATAAAACATGCAAATACACAATAAGAGGGTATGCACTGATTTGAAGCCAAAAGAATGGGTAAAGTTTTTCTTTTCTTGATCCAAATAAGTAGCTAGCCAATAATTTATGTAATAAAAGATGAGAGAAAGGAGCTGGCGACAAGAATTGGACTAAGATTAAAGATAAAAAATGTGGAATTCCATGCCATCATTTCAGTTAAAAAAAACAGAAAAAAATTATTCCATACATTTAAAGTTTTGTAACAAAATAAATCAAAAAAGTAATATAGGATAAATAAGAGGCGGCGTTTCACCCATAAAGCCACCCTGGCAAAGCAAATGTGTCCGGCATAGCAAGGTACTCAGATTTAAATTCTGCTGCCATAATGTTGAGCAAGAAAGAAGTGTTTTTCATATAAAGCACTAAAACTCCATTAATAATATATAAACTATGAAAGGCTTATGCCCATTAAACAAATAGGATTTAAGACATCATTAGCATTTAGGTTTCAGAACTTTAGCAATATCATTTGACTTTTATCTTTTCGTGGAAGTGTCAGTCCTGGAGTGGACATTTAAACATCTATACAGAGGCCAACAGATGACCACAGATAGTTACCTTAAAAGCTTCCCACTCTTCATCAGATGTTTTGAAAACAACAATGGCCGGCATCCCAGGGGGCCCGACCGGGCCCCGGTATCCCGTCTGCCCAGTCCTGCCCATGACGCCTTGATAGCCCTCAGAAGCCACAAAGAGAAACATAGCTTTACCGTGAATGATCGTGTTTAAAAGGTTGATCAAATATATTTGGTAATTGTATCAAAGTTGCATTTTGACTGGTTGTGTATGGAACAATAAAACCTATTTTAGAATTGAGGAACTATGGATTGACTTTGATCAATTTTTTGGACACAACTTAATTTGACCTCATTTGCTGTAATAGAGGTTCATTTGAAAGTGAATGACACTTTAATAACTGATAAAATAATCAGAGACTATTACTCTCATAAGGCTTTGAGCGTTTAGATGCACGGTTCTATTCTGAACAGGTATTCCACATTACTCTGAATCCTACAGATGGTATGATTAGTTGAAAACTCGTTTTACTTTAAAGCTTACTTTGTCTCCTTTAGGTCCAGGTGGTCCTGTTGGCCCTGGCGAACCCTGCAGTCCCTGAGGAAAGAACCAGGTACAGATCGTCTTCATGCTGCTCCCAAACAAAAATAATCTGACTTACTGTCCAGCTGTTCTCTGGAGTAATCACGATAACAATAAAAAAATTCAACGCATTTAAACAACATAGAAAATTCATATCCAGTTTGTTTGCTATTATACCTTATACATTATGACATATTTAGTATTAGAAACCATGATCACTGGTTTGTTATTGATTGGTTACAATTATTTCTGGATATCTTACAGTTTTTTTTATCTTGTCCTAGTTTTGTTTTTGTGTTTTGTTTGACTCAGGAGTGTCCAGGTCCGGCCCTCCAGGGCTGCTGTCCTGCAGGTTTTAGTGGTCGCCCTGCTTCAAAACATCTGATTCTGATGAAATGCCTCTGTGCAAAAGCTCTGCACAGGCCGGCTGATGGAGCACTGATGTGAATCAGGTGAGTTGAAGCAGGGAATCTTCTAAAAGCGGCAGGACAGCGGCCCTGTAGCATGACTGGATAGCCCTGGTTTAGATGTTTTTTTGTAGATTGTAGATCAAGGTATGCACGTCTGTGACAAAAATGGGTTTGGACAATATTCCTGCAGAAAACACGAAAAAAAACAAGATTTCTAAAGCAGAAAATGACAGTTATAGTACCTTAGTTCAACCAGAGGATGGAGACAGTGGTCTTCTCGAGTTTTTAGTTGCAAGGATTAACAAACAAGTTGCTGCTAAATGAGCTTTTAAATCATCTTTGTCAATAGTCAGTTTAATCTGGGATTATATTTTCAAACAGATACAATATTTCTCCTAAAAACTCGGTTTTTGCTTATGATACTTGTGATTTAGTCCTATCAGATTCAAGTCTTTTGAGCACAAAAGCCTGGATTCATTCACACATAGCTACAAGATATGCAATTATTGTCTTACCCTTTGACCTCTGGTTCCAGGTCTGGACTGTTCCTTGTCAGGTCCAGCTGTGTGTGCCAGTGTCTGATTGGCTGTCTTATCCGGGGGGGTCGGCTCTGTTCCTGAATGGGCAGTGACCCCTGCACCACTGAACTGAGGGGCTAAATCAGATGAGGAGTGGTCACTGTCATAACTGCCCTCAGCCACGTCTTTGTGCTCGTATGCTTCGTCCACCGGCCCTAAATCTGCCTCATCCTCATCTTCACTTTCATCTGTTGTCGCCCCACTCTGGTTTTCTTCGGGTGGGAGCTGCTTTTTGCTTGGACTGGGCAAAGCAGCCTTCAAATTGCCTTCTATTTCATCTTTTCCTTTAATGTGAGCGGCTGAAACATTGCTCCCGTGAGTCTGTGGTGTTCCTCTGCTGTGTGACGTGGAGCTGGACTGAGTCCGGTTTGGGGCGGACTCCTCTGATGCTCCTTTTTCTGGTGGTGCTCCCGGGACACCAGGAGAGGGGCCGCCGTCTGCTGAGAACGGAGATGTAATCTCTGATGATAATGGCTCCTGCCTCTCTCCCACCGTTCCTCCCGCTCCTTCAAACGAGGGATGCCCGCCAGAGGCAACAAGGCCTGGGTCTGAGGTGGAGCCAGAGATTAGAGGAGGACCATTAGAGAAAGCTTCTGTTGTGTTTTTCTCTGACTGAATACCAGGACTTGAGATTGTAGTCCCCACACTGTCCTTGGCTGGTACAAGATTTTTCTTTGAACTATCCACATCTTCACTGGAGGGAGAGGGACTCTTAACTTCAACGCTCTCTTTTGAGCTCGATGGATCCCCAGCTTTCCCCAAAATGTCAACGTTTGAATTTAAACGCTCTTCCTGAGGCCCTGGCTCAGGACGGGGTTGATAAAGTTCCTCAGTTACGGCGTTAGGTGTGTCTTCTTCTTTGGGTGAGGCTGTGGGCTTTGTGGTGATACCATCCTGGGTTTTCGGGCCCGCTGGGGCCGGTCCGTGGGTGCGTGGGGCGGGTTGTAACATCAAAGGGGGCGGACTGCTCCCTGGGTCAGGTGTCGGTGTCACAGCAGTGTGATCAGCCTCCTGAGCTGAGCTCTGAAGGGAATCGTCTGGTCTGGAGGATCCTCTCTCTCCAGGCTGAACGGATATCCCACTGAGAGATCCAGCCTGCAGAGAATGTTTGACAAGACGAAGGTCCAGTTTTATCAGAGGATCGGGCTAGTCATGCTTGGTATGATCAGCTCAGGCTCATTACCTGTTACCTTTTTCAGCATGATCTAAATGATACTTGTTGGACCTATACTTCACAACAGCAATAATCTATACTCAAAGCACTTGGTTTGAATAAACTGCAAAAAAGAAAAAATAGGAATTGAGCAAAAAGCTGTGGATAATCAGTACAGCAGCAGCAGATCTGTTGAGACATTGTGAAGATAGCTGTGTTAATCTTAATTTACCTACATAATTATCATCTATATTAAACAAATGTTTTAAACTACATGACATTGTACCACTTCTCAGTGGTCCATATAGAGTTTTTATTTGGTCCCTGAAGCTTATTATGACCCCAGATTAGTTCAAATATGTTCATGAAAGATATTGTTTATTTTAATGAGAACAAAAATAGTAAGGATATATTAGACAATATTGTGCGTAAAGGCGTGTTTTGGAGGAGCGAAAATGCAAAAAGTTTAACGGATTAACTTAGGTCATATCAATTCTTACAATAATCACCACTGCTAACCTAAAACCAGCTGTCTCTATTAAATCTTTACTGGTTACATTTATCTATGTTTAAAATTTGGGTGACAGTTTTTGTAATAAACTGTCTCTTTGAGACAAGGAAGTAAACACAAACTGTTAAAAAAATAAAACGCTATCTATAAATCTTTATCATAATCCTGTTTGCTGAACATGTTTGGGTTAAAAAACATTTGAGTAGAGCAAAGTTATGACGGTAAAGTGAGTGCATGACCAATGCCAACACTTCTGGGATTCACCAAAGAAATATCAGCCACTGCTGGCCAACGCCATCTTGTTTCCTGAAATGCCAGTGGGGTCAACAAATAGCTTGATCAGATCATGCTGATGTCATATTAGTGCAGCCCTACTTTTCCGGTTTAGTTACACATCCTTGATGTCACTCCTTACTTTTTAAACTACATGCTATTACATCATTTGGTAATGTTTCTAATAGATTTAATTTGATAAAGAGTCATTGACATGAAGATTTACTGATGTGACATCCATCCATCCATCCATCCATTATCAATGCCGCTTATTCCCTCATGGGGTCGCGGGGGGAACTGGAGCCTATCCCAGTGGTCAACGGGCGAGAGGCAGGGTACACCCTGGACAGTCCGCCAGTCCATCGCAGGGCCACACACAGGACATACAAGGACAAACAACCACTCACACTCACATTCACTCCTAAGGGCAATTTCCCCAATCTCCAATCAGCCTAACATGCAGGTTTTTGGACTGTGGGAGGAAGCCGGAGAACCCGGAGAGAACCCACGCAGACACAGGGAGAACATGCAAACTCCACCCAGAAGGGCCCTGGTTCCCCCGGGATTCGAACCCAGAACCCTCTTGCTGGGAGGCGACAGTGCTAACCACCACACCACCGTGCCGCCCTGATGTGACATATTGTAACTATTATGAGTTGCAGTTAAAACTATTTTCTTGGCTTAGTATTTTCTTGTTTAAGACACAGTCCAACATAAGAGCATGTCTGTGTCAAAAACTGTATGGTCCTGACAGGTTCAAATTAAACTGAAGCAAGATGAAGGCCTCCATAGGTAATGCATAAATGGTATGTAATTTAGGGATTAGCTGTGGTACATATGGAGGATGTAGATATTAAAGCTGTGATTTGATGTGTGCTGCCAGTTCTTGATGCATAAATCAAAGACAAGAAGAGTGTGAAATTGAAAATGAATGGGTGATGCATATTCCTAACAACACTGGAATGGGAGCCAGAGTCCGGCATATGCTCCCGTTGGCTGGGAGCCCTCTTGGTTTGACTGTGCTATGTATCACACACCACTGCCATCTCATTTTAGCCTTTTCCATGGAAGAAAGCAGAGACAGAACAACATCAAAGACACTTTTTCAATCTTTTGTAACAAAATACAGATAGCCATGCGACCTTGGAAAAATAAAATCCACCAAGATCCTCGTGTAGTCTTCTAAAGTATGACAATTCCACCACCAGGCTGCCGGTTTCCCTCTTAACTTTTCAAGCCTTATAAGGATAGTGTCAAAGGTCAAGGTGTTGTTAAACTGTCATTTTAACTTATTATTCTGCATCTACATGAAAACTAAATGTGATGATCAGTTGCTTTAACACTAGAATTGAAGTTCTCATACTGTGAAATGCAATTTGAACGAGCAATTTCCAGATAGTGAATAAAAAAAAGACAAACAAAGAAATAAGGTAATTATTATCAAGTTTATCTCTGACAGATGTGCAGTATTGTTCGACAGCTAATTTAAATATAGCAAAACCTCTTTCAGTTTGACGATTCAGAGAATGAACAGACACAGTTATCTTCAAATGACGACAAATAAAATGACTGGAAAGATTTAACCAAATGCATCAGCAACAGTTCTATAGATGTTAAAACAATTAGACTCACACAGATCAGAACGGACAGCAGAACCCCAACCCCAGGGCCCAACATGACTTCTGGTTGAGGCAAAATCCCGACGCCTCTCTCTGCGCTGAGCCTGCATGTGATCCAGAATTCCACATTCCCTCACACACCTCTTCCCGGATCCTGACACTGGACAGACTGACCACACACTCACAGCCCAGAGCAACCAATCAACGGAGCCCGACACACGCAAACACACGCTGGCAGAGAACAAAAGTCCCCACGTTTCCATTTCCACCGGCTCTCTGTGGAAATGCAAAGCCGGGCTGATGTCCAGCGCTGTAATTCCCAGAAAGTTTGTGAGTAACTCACACCTCAGAGTGTGATAACACTTGGGTGAGTTGTCTCCCGAGCCTGATACTATATAGAAGGACTCAGTTTTAGATCTGAGCAGATAATCAGGCAAGGTGAGACTTTAGAGTAAAACACAACTGCCATTCATTTGTGTTTGCTGTGAAAAAGGGATTGTACAAACAGGAATTAGACAAAAACATAGCTTTGCTCTTGCATTACTTGGAGAAAAAAAAGTTTTTTGCCAATTAATCTGCCTAATTCGGCACAGAGATTTACTCTGAAGTCAGCCATTCATCTTTTTTTGTCCAGGGTGAGAAGGTGAGGACTGTGGCTCTGGTGAGGAATGTGACACGAGGATCAGAAGAGCGGGAAGTGGGACGGGTGGGGAAGAGGATACAGTAAAGAGAGAGAAACGCGAGGATCCAGCTCAGACGCTTGACCCGGGCTTTATAGCCGTGTCAGCGGGCGGCTCTGTCATGTGGACACCGGTCACACATGATGGACAGGGAGCGGCTGGGCAGCAGTCCATCAAACAGAAGAAAACCTGTCAAACCTGTGTGAGAGAATTTCAGTTTTACAACCAGACCAGAAAAAAACACAAGCAAAAACATTTTTTTTAATGTTCATAACTTTCGGTTGTTTTTGGTTTTATTTTGGTATGGGCTGAAAAAAATAGATGCAGCATTTTTTAATAATTGACCAGAGTGTTTGTGTCCAGATTTTGAATAATATTTTCCCTTGATGTGCAATGTTGATGTTTTTGCTGTCAGACACAAAATGTACTCTCATAATATCTCCAGCTTTCTACTACTGTTTTACTGATGTGAGTTTGAGCTCTTTCAGGCTTTTGGCCGTTCTTTTTGCAGTGACAGATTTCAGCTTTATCTGCATATTTCCATGACAATGGTAAGCATGTTTGTTCCTCTAAAAGATGAAGTTGATTTGATTTCATCACCACTTTGATATAATTATATTGTCCAGTACCAGAGAAAACAAAGCAGTTTGAATATATGACACAGCATCAACGACGACTTAGAGTGGGTGTCATTCTGTCTTCTTTGTAAGAATCTTGGAGTTTTGGTTGTGTTCTGGGTTTGTTTTTTTTGTTTTTTTTTGTGTGTTTCCAGGTTCACACTCCCATACTACAGGCACACTTTCACTGTTAAAAAACAGAATGAAATTAATCTGTCACAGATTTCAGAGAAGCTGAAAGTTGTCCTCCCAATGCTGATTCACAAGTGAATGTTAGGTTAATGTCACAAAACTGAAAGATTCAGAGGTTGCATTCTGAGTGCAAATAATCCAAGTCAAGTCAAGTTAAAGGCCAAACCTTTAGGCTAGGTCCTTTAAACCTTGAATACTCCAGGTTTCAAACTTAATTCAATTATCAAAGTAAACCTGATTGCTGTATGTATATTTTTAACAGTGTCAAATAGTTATTATGTGTATAAAATAGGAGTCAATGAACTCAACAATAATGGGTTCCATTAGCAGAGGTTCTCTTCTTTCTATGGTTGACCTTCTTTGTCACGGCTCATCAAACCTTTCATATGAACCCTCTGTGATACTTTAAAAAAACAACAACAAGTTATGTTCATATATTCTCAAAAAAGGCACAGAGCTTGTGGATTTATAACAAATCTAATTTAATATCATCAAGCACGGAAAAATCAAGTGATCGCTTCTTAACGGGCCTCTGAACAGATGCACTCATAAACAGGCAAGATGACCAAAGTAAAATACAAAAAATTGCGATAAAGTAAACATGGATTTATTTTGTACATTCTATACTACAAATTTACCACAAATCTTCTCTAAGAAATCCAGACTTGATAGGGAGCTCTTTGGGCGAGTGTCCCCAGGCACAGATTAGGCTGTTCTGTACAGACGGACATCAACATTAAGTCCTAGGTTGCATTGTACACATGAAACACGGTCCTACTGTATATACTGCAGACTCAAGCCTTAGCCATACTTCTTTAGATGTCTCATTAATCTCAACGTCAACACACTGCAACGGCTGTTTTACTAAAATACTTATTTTCAGCGTGTTTCTCAGTCCACATATGTCCTGTGTTCACATTTCAAACTCATCATATTATCACAACACAACAGCACATTATATAAATATACATCTTATCAAGAGGGAACAATAAATTCTTGAAATTTTTGGAATGTTTAAAGATGTTCAGAATGACTGCTGCAGATGATTAAAAAAAATCTGTTCGTTGTTTCATGATTAATTTTTTTGTATTAAAATGAACGAAATCCTGGAACATCATGGACACAGTCAAATAATAGTAGTAATACTAATAATCAGGCAGCTTGAAGACACAGCTTCCCCACAGGTCTGCCATTGTCACTGTTAACAAAATCATGCATGTGGAAATTACTGTAACTCTCCAGCTCAGAAACTGTGTTTCTACAGACAAAAACACGGGATGGGAATTATGTGGCAGTTACAAAAACACAAAGAAGACAGTTGCCTGCCTGTGATTCCTCTTCTGTTAAAGCATCCACGTTATATCACATTGAATATGAAGGACTTTATACTCTCATCACTTTCATTGTCACATAAAAGAAGGCAGCACATCCTGAAGAGGAGACATCCCTGGCTCTATGTACAGGAAGAAAATGGCTTTAGTCAGCTTTGTGACAGAACATCAGTGGAGGTTATCCAGTACAGAAATGTGGGGAATGAAAATCCATTTGGCTTCATGAGGCTATAACACCACGTCCGTTTTGCCTATGCATTTTCCTACAGGACCAGTGTGGGACTTACAGTCCTTGTGATAGCAGGGTAATGTTATGTAGACGGACCTCCGGGGTTAAAAAATGAGACAAGCATTTGTAATCATCATAAGCCGTCATTTTCCAACTCAGAGAATCTTTTTTTTCAGAAAACCTTCAGCAGATATTAGAAATTCTCTCATCTGTTCCTCTTTTCTGTACTGCAGCTGAATATACACGAGCATTGTTTTCACATTATAGCAGAAAGACCACTTGACCTCCACTTGGAGTTCAACTTCATTCATGGCACAAAACTTCATTTCCTGTGTTGACAACTTACCAATCAGTAAAGTGTAATGCCCTAGCTCTTGAGGATATTCTTGCTGTAAACAGGAACTGCTGGGGATGGCTGGTTGCCACTTACAAACTGGCACAATCCGGATACATCCACCTCTTTTCCATTTCTACTCTCACAACTACACACGATAAGGACAAACGGCAACCAGCTCAAATAAACCGAACATGGAACTAAAATACATTCATCTTATTATATGTGTACATGCTACCTCTAAATTCACTTACACAAAATGCACTTAAACCGCTTCCTTGGATTAGTTCAGAGGATCTGAACGCCTTGACATCGCAATACAGTTGCGGGCTTTGCAACGTGTGGGTCCGCCCCCAGTGAGCTACTTGTGGTACTGTCAGTCTCTGGAATTTCTTTTTATTTGGCACATTCTCTGTTGAGAGCAAGCATTTGCAAAAAAAAGGCTTTCATGTCACCACTTTCAGTCTTCCTTCGGCTACGACAAAGATGCACGAGGACACAAGTGGACGGAGACGAGGGTCCAGATGAACCTGCTTGTGATGCTACTGGTGCTGAGAACATCCGCTCCCGGGAGCCCAGAGGAGCCGGAACCTTCTGGGGCCACCTAAGATGCTCTGAGGTGCTCCCACTCCTGTGTTTCGGGTCATTAGCAGCGATCGTCCTCGTCTGTGTCGCTCAGCAGCTCGCTGGCGTCTGCTGGGTTGGCCTGAACCAGGTGCTTCCGGAAGTGTCCGTTGGGGACCTGCCAGGAGTGTCTGAGCTGCGGGGCGGAGCTGATGGCGTTGGCCCGGCCCAGGCTGGTGGCCACGGCCGACTCGAAGGTGAGCGTCTCCTGCCTCTCGCCGGCATCCGTGCTGCTGAAGTCCTCCAGGAAGGGGAGGTAGGGCTCGGATATGTAGCGGTGAGGAGACGGGTGGCCGGGCCCCGGGCCCAGACCTCCACACGGAGCCTGACCAGCAGACAGAGGCCTGCTCTCCTTATCCGCCTTTGCCAAGTTCTGGGTGGAGCCGGCGGGGGGGTCCTGAGGCGGGGCCTGGGCCTCGGGGGAGGCTGCCGCCGTGGGAGAGGTGGGGGCTCGGCAGACCAGAGGAGAGTAGGAGATGTAAGGCCGCGGGCGGGCGGGCGTCTGGGGCAGCTGGCGGCGGTTACGAGGAGTTCCGGACTCGGAGGCGGAGTTAGCCGGGCTGCCCGACGGGTTCACCTGCAGAGGGGCGGGCACAACGCTGAAGAGAGCAGCCAACCGGGGGCTTTCTACCGAAAACTGTTACGTCACATGTCATCCGGACTGGAGTGTGTGACACAAACATGCACAGCATGGGTAGCAAACATGAAAACTGCTTCACCGTTAGCTGAAACAGTGATGTCAGCACTTTATGAGCTAGCCACCTTCATTTGATCTACTCATTATTGAACCATTTTACTTTTTACATGTATCAGATGAAAAGATTTGGATCATCACATTAATCCTCCAGCAGCTAAGGTTGTGTTTAAATAGGGGGATAATACATATGTATTATTATGTGTGTGTAATTTTTTGTTTTGTTGGCTCCCACCTGCTTCTGTAAGCTATGCGTTTGTCCCTCGCTTGGTGAGAGAGACTGTTTCCTCTCGTAGGACGGCTCCCGGCTTCTTTCCTCAGAGTTGCAGCGGGACACATCGGGGGACAGCAGGTGGCGCCGTTCCTTGGACCGTCCTCTCTCATGACTGCTGCTTTCTCTGGGGCTGATTCTGGGGCCTGGCAGTCAGAAGAGGATCAGAAGAGGATCTTCAGTTGTCTTTATATTTTCTCATTCAACTTTTGAAAATAAAACTGACATAAATGTCATCAAACAGATGCCCATCATTCCCCTGGTGGACACATTTGGTCATTTATGAAATGTGATTTTGAAGTAGCTCTTCTCGTCTTGGCATTTTGCCCTCTTCGGTTCCCTTTATATTTCCAGTTTTGAAAAAAACACCTGACTTACAGGTAAATCTCCTGAACAAAACATCAGTAGAAATGCTGCTCAGTTGCTGCAGCTTTAGGACAACAGTGGACTGACCTCTGTAGCTCCTCTGCCGGGGCCTGAATGTGCCGTCGGGACTGATTCTCTCCAGAGAGTGCTGCTCCTGCCAGAGGCCGTTCACGCATTGGTCTCCGATGGTGGAGAAGGAGCGCTTCATCAGTTTACTGTCTGCTGACATCCCAGGCTTCATACATGCAAGAGTCAGAACACCACACCCTTGTGTAACACACTCTCTCTCTCTTTTTTCCTGCTGTTGCAGCTGTGTTAGAACATGCAGAAAAGCTGCGTCACTTCAGCGAAGCGGCGAGTGTTTTCATCGCCTACCGTTTTTCAAAGCACCTATTTGCTAAACGCTGGATTTCGCAATGAGCAAAGGGGAATTACTCTTCTCTACCTGAGCATCGACAGCCAGTCTGGGCATGGAGGAGGCTCTGATAGAGGCCGTTCGCTGAGGAGACTTAATAAGTGTGGGGTCCTGCTTCGCCCGCCCCATCAACTGGTTGTAGTCCACTACCTCAGGTACCTGCAGAAACACCACCGGATTAATCCCATTTCCTCCCAGGCCACAAAACCACGCAGTAGTCTAGGCACACTCCAAAAAACCATTCATGAGTCTCTGATAATAATGAGACGGAAACAGAAGGTTACCAGTGTGTGCAAATGGTGGTGATGATGAGGATGGTGGTAGGAGTGGTAGGGTGAGTGGTAGTCTTCGTCATCCTCTTCCTCCTTCTCCCCCCTGGAACGAGATAGTGGCTGCAGGAACATCTCCTGGGGAGAAACGGGGCTCAGGGCCACAAAGCCTCCTCTGGTTCTGAGGGAACAGAAAACAACATCAGCGACCACCAGGTGGAAACAGGAGCCCGAAGGAGGGAGGAGGCTAAAAGCTGCGCGCTTACAGAGCCGATCCAGCACTGTGCCTGAGGAACTTGGCGTTGCATAGGATCTCTTGAGGAAGAGAGGAAGCATCCATACGCTGGAACATGGGAGCATGTTTCTGTAGGGAGACAAAAGGACACATACATGAGACTGTCTCTGTACATTTACACGTTTGTTTTTCCCCGTTCCTTCTAGATCTTCCACTTCCAGCTGAGTGGTTCATTCAAAGACAGTACAAACAAATCCTTAAAGGTAGGTAGGGGAGGGGCACGCTCCTTTAATGGTCCCACCCCCAAGGACTCAACAGGACACCTCTGAAATGTCTGAGTCCATAAAGAAAGAAATTTGTGAAACGTTCATGTCAAGCTTGTTTGGTTTTCCTTTCCTCGGTTAAAAAAAAAAAAAGTTTTATGCCCTCTAAGCTTCCCAGAGCAACCCCTTATTTAAAGCAACAAATCTACGAGCTCTGGTGATCGACTCAGGAAGAGACTGATGAGCTGCTGACTCACAGAAAAAGGCATAAAGGGAAGCAAAACCCTGCAAGATAACCTTCTTACAATCAGACCTTTTGCATTTGACTGGGTCACGGCACAAATTATTATTCCTATTCCGACCTTCTTGGTTTCAGTTGTTTCTTAGTTTGTCAGACTTTTTTTCTACCTGATTCCTACCTTGGAAACACATAATAACAGCATCTTGATGTGTTGTGCTTTTGGGGAAGCCAGCATCTTTTGTTTTAGTGCTAAAATCAGTCGTTATATATGATATCACAAATGTTTGTCTTCAATCGTGTACATTAGAATTCTACAATAAACTTAACCATGACTAAAATATAAAAAGGAAAATATTAACATTTAATGCCGTAATGTATCATATTTGACACATAGATTTCTGAGACCAATTTCTTTGTTTTTAAAATAGAAAAATAGAAAAAGTCCTTTTTTTGCACTTTAGTTTATTGTAAAAATGTGCTGAAAATATTGATGACATTTCAATCAATGTGTGTAAATGACGACAGTTCCTTCTTAAAAAACAAAGGACAAAGACATTTTTTGTTTATTCTTATTTGGGCAAACCTTTACAGGGTTAATAATTAAATGTGACATACCTGTTCTTCCAGTTGCTGTCGCAGTTTCTTGGCCTTGCTCTGCTTGTAGTAATCCATGATCATCATGGCAGCATAGATCTTCCCGATGGTCATATCACTGGCTGTGAGGTAGGACGCAGAAACCATCACACAGTGAACATTTTCCTTACAAACTCTACCACAAACTAATCCAACTACTATAAAATCTGAAAGGCATAAGCCCTCTCTCAGTGAGTAAATTATTGTGTTGTGCTAGCTAGCCAGATTTTTTATTTGCCTTTGTGAATGGGAACCAGCAGGTCCAGATTCTTCTGAGAAAGGTGAGGCCAGATGACCCCAATTTCCTTCTGCAGATCCAAATCCATCTGATTCCTGTCTTCTCCTCCTAATGAGCACATACAGAAAAGTGGGTGCATTCAAAACAATTTCTTAAGTCCAGTAAACAGAGAGTGGACGCTTTAACTAACCTCTGGCTATCTTCACCTCCAGGGCAGTGCGAATGAGGGCCATGAGAGTGGACGTGAAGTGGACGGTCATCTCATCGTCCACAGGCATATTCATAAGGACAAGTCTCTGGTGGGTGCAGAAAAAGTATCAGTCAGCTTTCCTCCAGAACACCAACACACCACAACACAACCGAGCAGATGCAATGGTATTGAAAGAGAACCTCCAAATTATGGAGTGATAAATATGTGTTATAAAAGAAACATTAGTTCAATTTGATTTCAGAGGGAAAAAACTGTTTTGCCACCGAAATACTTCCAGATTTGAGTTATTAATCACATAATAATGATTATAATCATTGTAAAGAAAATAACTTGAAAGAATTCAGCTACATATAACAAGGAGGTTTTTGATATAATAATTTCCAGTGGCTCAATTTGAAAGTAGATTCATGACTTATCTAACAAGAATTCACTCTGAAATTAGACTACAGAGATGAATACAGGAGGGCAAAGTGGGAAAGCCAGATATAAATAAAACCGTTTGTAATCACATAGATCATTTCATTGTTGTTTTCCAAGATGTCAAATGCAGAAGTCAGTTGAATTAAAAAATTGGATTGGATGAAAAAAAGATTCTTGCCCACTTATGTCCTGCAGTTTAAGACTTCAAAATTTGAAATTGATCAGGTACATCTGCAACTGCGCATGCTTGCAAGTCGGCTCACACAAACACAAAAATACACACACACACACAGCAAACAAAACCACCGGTGCAACAGTGGACTTTGGCAGCAGGCACATGCAGACATGGAGATGGAAAAGGCCAAGATGTGACGCATGGAAGGTAAAAACAAAAGAGGCTGAGGAGTTCTTCCTGTGGCAGAATCTGGTGTGTGGATGTTTAGCAACTTTCTCATGAATGTTCTTGAACTGATGATCAGCTATAGATAATGTAATGATAATATAATGCCAGCATACTGTACAGATAATGATGTCCTAATTTTGTGCCAAGATGCAAAGCAAAAGTCGTTGCAATAATTAGCACTCACTATGTGTCGATGGACAAATACTACCACAAATATTTCAGAATAATCAACACAAAAGATGCTCCATTAATCCAATGTCTGACACACATAATGAATTTATGTCTCTTCTGATTTATCTCTGACATTTAGTCTACCTTATATGCCAGCTTGGAGGGGCATTTCTTGCCCAGGCCTAGAGGTGGTGACATGTTGGTCAACATCTCATACATGTCAGTGTAATGGATACGACCACTGTGGGGCGCCAGGTAGCCATGACGATGGATGAGCAAAAAGGGAGGGAAAAAAGAGAGGAGGCGAGGAGGAGGAGAGGGAGGAGATATAGATTGTGTTGGAGAAGAAATGTAATAAAGGTGGAGGCATCAGGGGAGTGCATTCCCAAGGGATGGTGGAGAAAAAAGGAGAAAAGGAAGGAGTGAGGTTGAAAAGAGAGGATGAGGAGTGGAAGAGATAGAAAAGAAAGGGTTATTTTATGTTTCACACACTAGTAGGGTACAAAGTAGGAGAAATAAAGCAGGTTATTGTCTTTCTATGCCAACAGGGCATAGAAATCTGGGGTACAAAAACTCCTCGGACAGGATAAGGAAAGGAATGACAGCCTCATTGGATCTGGTGTGCATTTTGTTACTTACATTGTGCAGTTGCTCGTACGTGAGGGAGGATAACAAACAGCTAACCCCAGATCCAAAGGGTAGAAAGAGACAGAATCCCTCAGATACTTCAACCATTTAAAACCAACATTTTAAAGCGCTCGTTAAATCATTTAGAAGTCTCGGCAAATGAGGAATGTCCTGTGTCTTAGTACCCTGAGACATAAACGTTGTCATTCTACAACCTGAGTAAGACATCCCTGAATGCCAAGCAGGGCGGTGATATTCAGGGTGGGAAAGGAAAGGAAAGGAGGAGGAGAGGGGAGATTTGTTAACACAGGGGGAACCAAACCTTGCATGCCACCCTGTGGGGGCAGTTCTTTCCAAAGCCCAGAGGAGGTGAGATAGTGCGTACAACTTTGTACATCTCCTTATAATGGATCCTACCACTGGAGAGAACATACATCTTTAGCTGTTTAGTTAACACAAACAGAGCGCACACAGCTCTCTCCTCAGCTTTAAACAGAACACAGCAGCATTATAAAAAATCCAATAACTAAGCATTGAATTTAACACCACATCTATGAGTACTCGGCTTTGAAATAAAAAATAATAATACACTTTATTATTAGTTAGATGTGCTCACTATGTTGAGAACATTTAGACAGTGTGGTGTTGTTGTTCCACCCCTGTAAAAACCCTCATCCAATCCCACGAGTGCTCTCTTCAAATCTTTCCAAAACATTAAAAAGGGCAGCAATGACAAAATATGAAAAATTGTCAAATGAGGTTCCTGAATCAGGTTTCCTGATACGTATATGCCCACATTTTTTATGCATTCTTACATGATTTCTAATTCTCTATGTTGACTACATACCAACATCTAGCCCAAAATTCCCCAAAATGAGTTGTTTATGGATTGAAACAAGCATTCTAATGTAGTGCAATTAAATGAGTCCTGTATTTTTGTCCATTCCAATACATGTTTAGAATAACTGAACATGGATGATGTAACCTCTGATGTCCAGCTGGTCACATTGTTGTTGTGTGAAAGAGCAGATCACATAAGGGGAAGTTTGTCTGGCACAGAGCACAGACAAAGCGAGAAACCAAATGGAAAAAAGTGGTGGAAGAGGCTGAACGCACCGATTTAACTAAAGTTGTCACCACGCGACTAACTGCAGTGCTTATTTGATGTGTCCAAGCACACTCAGATGATTCTAGAGCTACCAAAGAAGACCCATGCATCCTTTATCCATACCGCTTAATCCTAGTAGGGTTAGGGGGGGCTGGTCCCATCCCAGCTGACATTCGGCTGGGAGGCAGACAAACAGTCTCACACACTCACGTTCACACCCAGGGCCAATTCCGAGCGTTTGATTGGTCCAACATGCACGGGGAGATCATGCAAACTCCACACAGAAAGGTTCCAGTCAGCCGGGGCTCTGAGATGGGAACCCTCTATCTGCGAGGCCTTAACTGAGGTGGTCAGTTAACCACCAACTGACCCTTTCAAACAACAGCGACCCGTTAATAAAGACTCCCATATCCGATATCAGAAGCAAGTCCCTCTGTTATCGGTCATCTCAACATGTTTCCTACCTTTTCCTGTAGGCTCTTTTGGGTAGATTTTTACCTCGGTCTTTTGTTTTAACTTGCTTGTCATTGCATCTCATTTCGTTTAATTTTCAACCTGTTTTTAATCTTGTTTTACATGTGCTCTAAAAGCCCAAAGCCAGGATCTTAAGGATGCACTCAACAGAATTGTGAATTGTGTTCTGGTTCTGATTGATGATGCTTGCTCAGCACAACCACGTGTTGTATTTTTTAAACAGAGACATGGCTTTTTAGTCGTATTTTGCCACCATCAACATGTGATAGGGAATAACATGAAGACTGTGGTCTCTGGAGCTTCTCTTTTAAAGGATGAATGAAGCGCAGAGGCCAGTATCCCACTGTGTTCTTCCCTTAGGGAAATGATTGTTTGAACTATTTGAACACACGTTTATTTCCCCTGTGAATCATCTTCATGCATCACTATTATTTGCTGTATACGGTTTTTGCGTGACCTGGACACCTTTTTAACACTAGAAATCCTGTGTGTATTTACTTTGGTTTGTCATGAACATGTTTGTTTATTTTGTGTGCACATTACAACTTATCTTCACGGCCCATGATGTCGACCTTTGACTCTCAAGTCTGAAATGATTTGATAAATAATTCAACTTAAACTCTTCTCCTTATTTTGTCCATTTCAGTCAGGTCATGACACCAATGTTTTTAATGTAAATGCTAATAAAATAATGTAATAAAATAATGTAATCAAATCTCAAATCTCTGTTTATGTCACTGTTCTGTCATAATGTTGCACAGTTACGTTTCCAGTCGCTACAGTTTTTTTTTTTAGATCTGCCATAAACACACCACAACACAAAGTGTCCAAAAGTAAGATAGTTCAACAGATGGAAAAGCTTCCAAAGCTCATCTGTGCAAATCTTTAAAACTTTAATTTACCTAATCTATGTAAACTATTCATTTACCTCTAGCAAGTTCATGGCAGCAGCTACATGAACATAGTTTTATATTCCAGCTGTTAGCATTTCTTCTGTAATGTCTACCTTCCTGCTTAAAATATTTTTTTTCAAAAAAGCTGCCCAGTGTTTTCCATTTCATTCCACTATAAGTCTAAAAATTCAGGTTTTTCACTTCCCCACTGTTTATATCATCTGTATGTGTGCTTTGCAAATATATCTACAGTTATATTTGTGTTGTTCGAAACTACCTGTTGCCTCAAAACTCATTTCAACTCACATTCACATATACACCTGCTGCCATTTCAGATGAGCACGGACAAAAAGCAGAAGTAGAAAATTGTTGTCCCAAGTGTTTGTTCGAGTCCGCCTGGGGAAGATGGATGTTCCAATAAAAATGAGACCAAAACAAATTCTGGAGTTGCAGGAAGTTTGGAGTGCGCAAGAGTGTTTCCTTAAAATGAGTGTGACAGCTATGCTCTTTCATCCATTCGTGTCAGTATTTGGCTCGTGTCTGAATGCCCAGTCACAGGAACCCAGTGAGGGCGTGATTTACTCTCATCTTTAGGCAGAATTTTCTGCACTTTGGCACAATCATGACGTCCCAAATAAATGCACGTATGTATGCAGCTGCTTTTAGGAATAACACAAATGGAAAGACTCACCTAGCAGCACGATCATACTCCCCCCAGATCCTGACAAACTCATCCAGATGATGTGGGCCAAGAATGGACGAGTCTCTTGTTAAATATTCAAAGTTATCCATGATGACAGCCACAAACAGATTCAGCATCTTCACAGAAGGCGAGAAAAGAAAAATGGTTGAGACTCAAATTAAGCACCTTCAGATAATTAGTTCTATAAAAATAATTGGTTGTCTTACCAGGAAAGAGCTGAAAAAGATGAAGGACACAAAGTAGAAATAGGCGAAGTCGGAGCCACAGCTTTCTTTTTGCTCACTCATCAACAGTGGGGGAGGAAGAGAGGGATCCGTTTCACACCTCTGTCCTCCCAAACACGACAACATGATCTCCTGCCATGACTCCCCAGTGGCACTCCTAGTCTCATTCAACACCGGGGGGGGGATAGTTGGTTGGGATTCACAGTTCAGTATGGTTTGGTCAGTTGTGAATGGATGAAACATTGAGAAAAAACAAAAATGGGGACAAATGAGACACTTTTTAAAGTGTTGAAAGTGTATTTCAAACACTAAATACAAAGTCTTTGCACAGTATTTACAACTCAAAGAATGGAGGTTACTATACAGTAATATGTGAAAGGTTGCAAAACCTTTGAAATGTTCTTTGTCAGCAATAAACAATCTAAAACATTGCTAAAGTTTTGGAAAAGACATAAAAGCAGAAAAAGAGAAGAGATATTTGAACCAACTCTTTAGTTTGGAGCAGCTTTAACTATGGGATGTGGATGTGTTTTCCAGCTGATCTAAGGTCCCTCCAAAATATTTCTTATTTTTTCTATTCTAATGGCACATCATAAGAGAGATAAACATAAAAACACTGTCTTATTTTCATCCTGTTGACTGCTTTTCATCAGACACAAGACTCTCAAACCATCTGCAGAGGTGTGTGCTGGGTAAAAAAGTGGCACACCACAATATCTATCACCCATTGACACTGAGTAGCCCTTTGGGCATTAAGAGAGCAGAGCCTACTACTGTAACCTAGCAACATCGCTCAAACTACACTTAAAAAGCCTTTTTCAGGCGACCAAATCCATAAAAGTACGATTATCTTGCAGGATCAATTTAAGTGATACGTACATGAAAAGCCATTCTGGAAAACTGATGGTTTATGTAAATATTGGGAATTTCCGATTAAATCTCTGGGTAGTGGAGATAAAACCTGCTTGTCAGCGTCTCACCTGAACAACAGCATCAAAGCTCCAGCAAAGGTTTTGAAGTTGTTGTGCTGGTTGATGTGAGTCCCCTCATTCAGTTTAATGTTTCCGAACACCTAATTCAACCAAACATTAGAAGATACAAAAGAAAAAAGGGCATCAGATTCATGGTGCAAAACAGAAACTCAGAAAATTTTATTTCAATATGAAACATGGACACTCATCAATATGAGCCAACACACTTCTGACCTGCATGCCAATGATGGCATAGATGAAAAAAAGCATGGCAATGAGCAGGCAGACGTAGGGCAAGGCCTTGAAAGACTGAACGAAGGTCCACAGCAGTATCCGGATGGTGTAACCTTGCCTCAGCAGTTTGATCAGACGAGCAGCGCGGAACAGTTTCAGGAAGCTCATGTTGAACGCGTCGATACGCTGGCAGAGAAACAGAGAGACGGCAGGAGGAGAGAGTTGGCGGGGAGCCTGATGTCTAGATCCTGAAACCAGTGGCTGAATAGTCCAGTACCTGCAGGTCCACCACGATCTCCGTGATGCTGCCCAAGACGGTGATGAAGTCAAAGATGTTCCAGGTGTCTCGAAAATAGTTCTGTTAAAACGGGAGAAGCGCGTTCAGTTGGTGAGATTCAACATGAGGCTGTGTTTTCGCTTTGCTCTCACCAAAAAGCCGAAAGCCAGGATCTTGAGGACGCACTCAACGGAGAAGAGCACGGTGAAGGCTGTGTTCAGGTGCTTCAGCACGGCGTCGTAGGCCGGGGGGGCGGAGTAATACTGCAAACACAACACGTTGGGCAGAGGTTAAACTACAAAGTGATTTGTGTTGAAATTAAGATTTGAAAATGGAGAACTCCCGGAGCTGCAGATCAGCCTCCTCTGTGATATCAGGGTGAACTTCAGGCCTGCACCCTGCAGATCTCCAGGCTGATGGAAGATTCCTCCAGACCCATAAATAGTACCTCTGTCTCTGCACCTCTCATCTGAGGCACTATAAAAGGAGTCATTCCTCTGGGGCCGGCAGCCACAGTTAATGAGGTCATGTTAAATAGCAGCGCCTGGACATTATAGATCAATATTTAATACTGGCTGAGTCACTCAGCGTTTGTCTGTCTTTGTGTCTGAACAGCCCAGGAAAAAGCCAAAGCAGGAAATAATTACTGGGGAGGGAAAACAGCAGTTCTAAATCCAAATATCACACTATTCTGAGGTGGTGCTGCGAAACCTCAGCATCCACTACCAGTGACTAATCTGGGATTATCCGAAAATCTAGTCTAAGCATCTAATCTAACACTGGCAGGTTATTAAGGAGTCAGGGGCTAGATAGTGGTAGAGAATCAGGAATTTTCCTCATACTGTTATGACCTTATTCAAAGCACCGAGTTGAGCTACTTTCTTTCCGTCTATTAATTATTTTTATACATCATCCTTCTATCTTTTCTTACCTTCATCATCAACACAATGGTGTTGAGGGCAATCATGGTCAGGACCGTGTACTCAAAAGAAGGTGAGACTACAAAATGCCACAGGCGGTACTGGAACGTGTGCCGGTTCTGAGGCATGTATCGAGTCAGGGGCTTCGCACTGATAGCAAAGTCTATGCAGGCCCTCTGAAACGCACAAAGAAGAGAAAAAAACAGAACGGCAAAGTGATGAAACGAGGGAAAACACAGAAATCTGTCAAACTCTCCAGTTCATTATCGGACATGTTGCTTTTTTAAAGTTTCTCCTCTTATGAGGAATTTTGTATATATATATGTATATATGTATAGACATGTACATATGTATATGCCTTTGTTTTATTTTGCTTATGGAGCCTGTAACAAAAATAATTTCCCTCTGGGATTATTAAAGTATTTCTGATTCTGATTCTGATTCTGACGTGTGCCATTTACTTTTTGGGGGATTTTTTTTCTTTAGAAAAACATTTACATCAGCCAAAGCGGACTTTGATTTTATTTTGATTTTATTTGAATAAAAAGAGATGACCTGTACGGGAGGTAAAAACACTCAAGTGAACAAGTGAAGTGTGAGGGACAAAACTCTACCCATTTGATTCATGAGTACAATGAAACCACAAATGGGGAGAAGTATACACGTATATATGTACATAATACTGAGCAGCTGAAGAAGGTAAAAAAAGTGCAGCTCTCCATGATATTAAAAGGAAAAAGGTGAGACAGATTCAAATATTTGTATATTCCAAATATTGGGCTGCAACATCAAAATGGCTGATCAGGGACAAAACAGCTCATTTTAAACTAATAACCACTAATCAACTGGTTACTGTAACTGAAAACAAAACCAAAAAAGTGTTTGCAGTCTGTGATTAATCCATCCTTCCTCACCTCATTCTTCTCCAGGCTGCATTCCTCCATCATCTTATCCCCTTGCTCCTGGAAGGTGATGATGATGAGGGCCACGAATATATTCACAAAGAAGAAAGGAAAGACAACAAAGTAGATGACATAGAAGATGGACATCTCCATCCTGTTGCCGTGGCTGGGCCCCCGGTCCTCCTCCGTCACGTCCACCGAGTGCTGCAGGACCCTGAGAGAGTAAAAACAGACACGCAAAAGTCAAGCCAGAAAAAAAACAGAAAGGAGAACAAAACTATCCTGTTCAGCAGGACAGTCACACAATTCAATCAAATCTTTCTTTCGAATAAAAGTTATGTGATTCAAGTTTTGTGGAACTCTAAACCAGCTTTGGGGTTTGGGTGTATCTGTTTACCGGGGTGGAACAAATGTTAATTGCCACGCAGAGGAAATCATTTTCTGCTGTTTCCGCAGAAGTCTATTAACAAGGGCTGGACCAGCTCACACCCACAGGCGCCGGCGGGCAAATATTGGCAGAATCAGCCATGAGTGGACGAATGGTTTCTTATTCTGATTAATCACGTCCATCACACCCTTCATCAAAGGTCAGATTTGGCAATTACAAAAGAACAACCCAGATCTAAAAAGGTTATGACACTGACGACCACAGAGGGGGGGGGCAGTTCCTGATGAACTCACTGAGGCCATCCCTCTCCAGTGGAGACCGTGAACAGTGTGAGAAGAGCCCAGATCACGTTGTCGTAGTGAAACTCGTGCCGCTTCCAGTCCCGTTTCTTCACCTCTTTCTTATCCTTCCCGTAGTCAATGTAGTAACCCCTGGAAAAAAAAGGCAAGACAGCCAATGTCCATATTGTGAAAGCAAAAAGTTGATTGATTGCTATTAAATAGTTTAGAAAATAGTATAGAAAAGAACATATATACAGTATAATAAAAAAAAGCCTGTACATAATCTCAACAGTATATTAAATAAAAAATGGAAATGGTAAAAAACAGAAAAACGAAGCAAGAAAGACCAAACTACAGAAGGACTGGGTGGTGATGTAAATAATCATTTGAGTGGTATAAAGCTAGAACAGATGATGTAAAGGGGATTACTGGCAGTCTTTCTGCGTGTCCTTTGAGCTGTCGGTGCAGTAGAAGAACTTCCCTTTGAAGAGCTGCACAGCAATGACAGCAAAGATGAACATGAACAGCTTGTAGACGATTAAGATGTTGAAGACATTCTTCAGGGAGGTCACCACACAGTCAAACACCGCCTGGAAGAAAGAACACACAAAACAACACCATCAGGACTGAAGCCTGACCGTGGTCACCTGAAGGTGGAGGAGAACTCCAGTTTGGTCCCCCCGATAAAAGTCTGTCTTCTTTTTCCTTAAAGCTCGCTACATCTGCACAGAGATTGTTTGTTTCTGCCAGAGCTGCCATCTTTTATGACTGTAACAAACCCCTCTGTTATTAAGAAGGGCCAAAAAAGCAACTAGGGACTTCAAATAGACCAAAGTTCTTCATAATTATAGGACCTGGAACTCATGAAGCTCATGAGGTTTGTCCTTCGAACACTGTGAACTGTCTGGTAGGATGTTTTAGTACAGTGAAGACATATATACATAGTTATTTCTTACTTTTACTGTGACCTTAATTGGGTCAAAGTAAGTACCAAGAAGTTCTCTGATTAAAACGGCCATATTGATAGTTTGCTCATAGCCTTAAATACACCTCATAAGAGAGTTCTGGAATGACCATCCGCAGCCATGGGTCATGTGACAAGGGTTTCTGGACTACTTAGTTCTGTTAAATTTATTTAGCAAAGGCAATAAACAATGTTTATTTCTTCATATTTTTATTTTACTGGTTGGAATGAGGATCTATCATAACATCAAATCCAAAGAACTTGGTTGGGTTTGAAATTTTTTTTTAATAAAATGAATTATTTGTAAAATATTACCTCCATTAATGCAGTTTTAACTTTACACATGCAGTTGCTCTCGTGACCACAAGATGTCACATGTTAATGTGCATTGTCAAATAGTTCATTTTGGATTCAGTAAACACAGACTTATGGGCTCATATTTGTGTGGAGGACAGTCTTGACAATCCTGCTAACCTCTTAAATAAAACAACGTCTTAATCTAATCAATACTACATTGAAACATGGTCATTACCGTAACTTTTCATTTTTCTGTTAGTTTGCTCATAATAACTGAAAAAACAGTAATAACACAAGTGTTGTTGAACAGACGGATAATCTGACCTTGAGTTTGGGGAGTCTTTTGATAGTCTTCAGTGGTCTGAGGACGCGCAGCACCCTCAGAGACTTGATGGTTTTGATGTCCCGTCCTTTGTTATTTCTGAGCAAAGGGACAAAGAGTGTGAGCACCATGGCAACACAGCAAATACCACTCTTCTTCTCATGATCTTCATCAGCTAATAGTTTAGCTCTCACTACTTATGTCAATTCTTTGAAAATCAAATGGGTGAAAACTCGACGTTATGTCTCAAAAAAGTGTAATTTTACCCCATCACATTGCTGCTTGTCCATTCCAGAGGGCATTGTCCACAAACAACAAAAGACAGGAGAGAGAGGACATTTACATAAACAATTATAGAACTGCATCAGAAATGGGACCTGTTCTAAAGGAAACACATCCTACAGGTCATCTAAGGAGCTCATTTTATGCTGATGTGCACATTTATCCTTTTTATTTGAGGTCTCATTCGTTCTCTGGCTCGGTGCATTGCTGAAGCACCTTTTGTCACCTGCTGTCTGACATGCTTAATTTAGAAGCTCTCTATTTAAAGCCTCTTTATAAAACACCAAGTCGGCTCTGATTCATCTGCTGATAGTTGAACTGATTTGAGATTTACTAAACGAGCTACTGAAAAGGCACGATGCAATGGTTTTACATGGTAATATCCACAAGAGAGGAAAGAAAAACCTCGACTTAAAAATAACTGAATCTCCTGCGTAACACTTTAACTTTGCAGCTATTTAAATTGCATAAAAACTCAAGTAGTACCTAAGAAGAAGAGAAATTAACGTTTGGACATGTTAGATATTAAAAGGTTACATCATAAATCATGTGACTGACGTGAGGGCGAAGGCCACCAGCGCTCCAATCACGACTATGAAATCCAGAATGTTCCAAAGGTCCCGGAAGTAGGAGCCATCGTGGAGGATCAGACCCTGGTCGATCATCTGAGGACAGCACACAGCAGTGAGCAATTCCCCATGTGTGAATTACAAAGATGATAGCAAAAAAAATGCAGACTCAACTAAAAAGTCAAACATTTTTTCCCAGGAAAGATCTTTCAGTATCTTTTAATCAAAATAGTTACATTTTATTTGTATTCCAAATAGTATCAAATCATAATTTAATGTCTTATTTACACCTTACCTTTATAATCATTTCAAATGTGAAAACTCCTGTGAACACGTAATCGAAATACCGCAGAACCTAGAAATGTCAGACAGAGAGGGGGGAGGGATTTGGGGGGGTGGGGGGTATAGAGCTTGCTCAGTGTGGCACACATATGAACCATCATAAACTTTTCTTTTCACACTCATCATCAAATCAATTGCCCTCAACCCATCAAAAGAACCATTTGTAGAAATAGAAACAGCCAAATAAGGACAAAAATGTTTCATTTTGTTTCCTCTACTATACTTTTGGTGCTTGTTATAAATGAGATGAGCTTAGAGACCCAGAGCAAAGATAAAAAGTAATTGAAATCATGTCTCAAAGGTTAATAGAAACATTGTCTGGTTATTGAAATAAACAAACAACCTGTTTTCTTCTAAACTGCTAATTTTCCAGAGAGAGGACGTGTGCACTGAAGTGAGGACCAACCTTGTTCCAGTCAGACGAGGTAGCTACAGGGTCCTCTGCAGCCAGGGCTATACTGCTAGCAGCTATGACCAGCAGGATGGACATCTCAAAGTACCTGAGGTTCACAACATAGTGGCATGCACGGCGCACCCTGAAGAAGAGCAGATATGAGACCATGCAATGCACGGTTAGCAATAAAAATGGGATCCGGTAGATCCAGTTAAACAAGAAAAGATGGTTTATTCTTAGGAATTAACGGCTAGCATATTTTGACTTCACTCACAACTGAAAATAGAAGTTTTTAAAATCACATAAATTCAGATTTCCAACAATTTGACCAAAAACATTTGAAAAATGTTCATAGATGAGGTTTTTGATGAACATATATCACCTAAAGCAGCCTTTCTTCCACATCACACCAACATTATGATGTAACATTAATCGAAAAAGACCAGTAGAGCGACAAGCAGAAGAAACCTCTCGGACTACTTACGGGTTCTCCGGTTTGAAGATGAACATGCTATCTGGGGTCACAGTATTGACTGGCTTTGTCTCCTCTGCTTCCTCCTTCTCTGACTTAGAAGTCTCAGGGTCCTTGCTGTTGACTACACAAGTTCAAGAGAAGATGATTGACAAAAGTGTCATCATTCTTCCACTATGGTATTACAGCTTTTCTCAAAGCCAAACAAAAATGTCCAGACGGAGGTATGGAGCAGACAAAATGGTTTATCAAAACTAGATCGAAAATGTCTACCATTACCTGTGATTGTGGACAGCTCGAGAGATGAGTGGACGTTGGGCACCTCGATGACCACGCTGGAGCCCAGCTGACACTTGTCCTGCTCCGGTTCGGTCTCCTTCTCCTCTCTGCTGTCCTCGGGGTTCCTGGGAACAAACAGACCTGGCTGCTCTGGAGTGGCCTCCTGCCTCTGAGGAAAACGGCCACCACAGTGGCTCTGCGTTTCTGTTAGGCTACTGTTTCCTGTTTCACCTACATCACCCTGTCTGTAGATAAAGGTAAAAAATGCCATGAGAGACCGGAAACCAGTGTCCAAGGAAGAGGCCTCATGATGCTTTTGTTTTTTTATGTTTTTTTGTGGAAGCAAATGAATGATGAGTTGCATTATTTAGCAACAGACACTGCTTTTTAGCCCTATACATTCAGACTCTTAACTGAAGGTTGCAGGAAAACATGAATAATTACATTCATACACATATAGTACACATTATGTGGAGGTTTAATTTTCTATTTTCTCTAAAAGATGCCTCTTTCTTTCAACATTTGTATTCCAGACCGATTTATTGAGTAAACTTTGATTTATCTCACCCGTTCTTCTCATGTTTGGACTCCTCTTCCTCTTTGTTTTCGGCTTCATCTTTCCCAGGTTTTCTCATTTTCTCTCCGACAGTGGAGCAACCGGACGCCTGCCCCCTGCCCCCGGGGGAAGAGGCTTGGTTCCTGGTCCCGTTGGGGTGGTCCCGTTGGTGCAGGGCCCTCCTGGCCTTAATGTCAATGCTGCTTCCCATGTCAGGACTCAGGGTGTCGATGTTATCTGGAGGTCTGAACTTCTTCACGGGCCTGTGCTGGTGTTCTCCGTTCAGTCTGGGGCTGCGGCGCTCACTGCTCACTCTGTGGTTGACCCCCAGTTTGCGGCCCTCTCCGTGGGGTTCTGGCTCAGGAGGGTCCGGCGTGGTCCCGGACTCTGTGAGAGCAGCGTTTGTAGGGTCCAGTGACTCTGGTATCAGGATGGACAGAGGCGGCTCAGGGATGTCCCCCGGGAGCGTGGGGGCCTCCAGGGGCAGGTCCAGGGCCAGGGAGGCCCCTGCAGCCGGGGTCTTATCCGGGCTGGCCAAAGGGTCCGGGAGGGGCTTCGCACTGTCCGACGGGGCGTGCTGCATGGCCTTACGGTGCAGCGACAGCGGGCGTCCGTGATTGGCCTGAGCGGCGGCGGGGGGGCCGTCTTTCTCCTCGCTGGGGCTGCTGAACAGGATCTCTCGGCTGGACATCTGCCGGTGTCTGCGCAGCTGGCTGGTCCTCTGCTCCCAGACTGACATGGTCATCCTCTTCCTTCTCTCTCTCCTGGACATGAAAGAGTTAGAGGGGTTGAGTGGTGGGGGTGGGCGGCCCTCCCTGATACTGCCCTGGGCCTCCTCCAGGGAGAAGGAGTAGGTGGGCCGGCTGCGGTGTATGGCTCTTTTCCTGTACAGGTAGGGCCGCCTCCTACGGCTTCCCCTGGGAAGAGCAAAATAAGACACAATGTTAGCATGCGGGATCAGTATCTCTGTCAGCATTCAGCAGGTTTAAAGTAAGATAATCTTATCAGATTAGGAGACTTTTTCATGTCACCCGTATTTACATGTTCTATTTTGATCCTGGTCTCTTGCTTGCATGCAGCATACTCTCCAAAACTGAGATCTGATTCAAACTTGAATGTTGGAACAGGTTTTGACAAACTCCAAACACCGTCCCATCGATTACTTTTTTAATTCTTAATGAAATGGACATTTGCAAGCAAAACATGAGCAATGAATTGGATGTTCAAGCAGTATATCAAAGAGTAAATTCATTGGAACATGAAGCCATTAACTGGATCAATGACGATGTTTAGTGAATAATTAACCAAGTCTGGAGCTGTTGTGCTACTTGAATAACAAAAATAGTTTGATGCAGAATGAAGCCAGTCGGATATTTCTAAAAGACTATGGATCCGAATGACATTGTAGAGTTGGGAGGAAGAGTACAGGACAGAGCATGAACAAATGGATGAGGGACATGTACCCGGGTAACAAAATCAAGGAGGCGTGAGTGAGAGTTTCAGAGAGCTGAACTGACAGTGCTACTTACTGGAGCGTGGACTCTTGTGTGGTCCGTGTTATCAATGAGCAATTGGTTGAAAACAAGACATTAGTGCTGTTGTGAGCAAAGACAAAACAGGCCAGGAGACACACAACAAAATGACCTCTCACACAGGGAGCGCAGAGTTTCTTTAATTTCCCGGCTGCTCTGGATTTGGTATTCATCGCTTGAGGGTAAAACTGCTCTTTCTACTGGAACACGCACACGAATTAGAAAAACGTGTATTCCAGCCTCATTATGAGTCCTGTGTGCAGCTACTCAGGGAAACTGCGCTGCTCTGGGTACTTTGGTGTGTGTCTCCATGGGAGCCAAGCGGCACATCGACAAACAAGATGATGGCAGTTTCAGGAACAATTAAAAGACATTCCGAAGCATCAACAGTAACACAGATAGGGAGACAGTTTGAGCCACAGTATGGGTACAGGAAGAAAACACAGAGATGAGCTCCATCAGAAAACACATGTACTGTAAGAGAGAACAAATTCAGCTTTGAGAATCCTTTAAGAAAGAGCTCCGACCACCACTTTAGTCTCCAAACACTTAAACCGTAGCATTCTCTGAGGGCATGCTAGTAGAACTAAACGAGCTGATTCTAAGTATTCAGAATACCAAAAAAGATTTGGAGGAGGGCTAAAAGACAAGGCAGTGAAAGAAAAACTGCACACACTGAAAACACTAAAGCCTGACTTGCTCTACCCTGCATGAGAAAAGCATTTTCCATGAGTGTGTGTGCACGATTTTAGTTTTTCTTCCTTTGATCATGCCGACCAGGTGCATGCGTTCCCAAAGCAAAGTGGTAGTCAGCCTGCCACATGCACCATTTCAAGTGCTGTCATGCAGGTCTAGTTGCACAGCCAAGCTTTCCTCGCTGACAGAAGAGATGACACCAGGAACCCCGAAAGTTCAGAGCCTGCATTGAGACGCCCGGCCCAGACGAGCCAGTGGGACTCCAGTTTTTCTCTGGGGACTCTGACAACAGCCTGATTCTCAGCTAGGCCAGCTGAAACTGATGCATATTTATTTCCATGTATGTTCGGATTTATTTTTAGTTGACAGAAAAGGAAAAAGGAAAAAAAAACAGAAAAAACTTGACTTCATTAAACATGCCCGTGCACCAGAGTGTTCGCCGCTCAACACGCGGTGTGCATACAGAGCCCTAGATCCTCACTCCTGTTCATGCACATGCATCTCCACCACCAACAACTAGGCAATGTGCAATCAGTTGCTAAAGGGGATTTTAAAAAATCTACTCTGGTCTGGATGCAAACTTCCATTGGTCAACTACACTCTCCACAAGTAGGAATCCTTTGTGCCACTATCTCAGACCACCACAGGAGCAACTGCACTCTACTAATGCAACAGACTCTCTCTATATTAAACTGGAAACTAAATAATCTTTGGCCAAAACAACATTACAAGCGTCTTCCACCATGGAGTGGAAGCGGTAGGCATGGAGACGTAATACTGAGCACATTCCAGTGCAGTGAGGAGACTATTAGAGTCTATTAGTGAAATCAGTGGGTTAGCTCCATGCATATTTTTTCCCCAGGAACCCTTAAATGACATGTGCGACCTTACACTTGTGCAGCAGCACATCTGGGAGCTTTACATGTATCAAGCTTCCATTTTTACATGTTTTGTCGTCACTTTACTTGCCATAAAGCTTTCTACCGAGAGCCAGAGATACTAGTCCTGTGCACACATTCCCCAGTGGAAGGGGCGGGGAGAAGGGAGGAGGGACAGTTGGAGGAGAGGTCAGGCAGGAGGAAGCTGCAAACAGCACTTACTCTGAGGACATGAAGGAGGACAACGGCCCCACCTCCTTCGCCTTCTGTAGAGCATGCTTCTGGTTGAAGGCGGCCTCTGCTTCCTCTTCGTCCTGATCAAGAGGGGAGCAAAAGAGATGGGAGCAGCTTAAACTTCTGAAAACGTAATAATCAAACTGAATAAAGCGATAGAAGGTTAAACAGCAGAAAATGCACATGAAAATGTAAAACAAGGGAATAGGGATTAACTATTAAAGCTCTGTCTTCATTTTATTTTTCAAGTTTTATTACCTTTGTGAGTTCTTGTGCGTTGGCCAGATTGTCCACAGCAATAGCCAAGAAGACATTCAGCAGCGTGTCTGGTCACAGTTATGTTAAAGAGGCTGACAACAACAGCTGGAGGTTAAACGCACAACTGAGTGGTGGCTTCAACTGCCAGGTCAAACACAAGAGTCCAGCAGGTCTACAGGGATCTGAGGGCTGCTTACCGTCAACTGGAGCTCCTTTTTATGTGTTTACAGACATTTTCTGTTTCAAAATAACTATCTTTCTTTTTTTTTAGACTTATTTTTGTTTCTAGTTTTTGTTTCTCACCATTGCACACCACTTTGCTATTAGCCATGATGCTCCTAATTTTAAGTTTTCTCAAATTGTCCTCTGCCAGATCATCTCGTTTTAGTGTTCATAGAAAAAAAAGTAACAGTTAATGGCAACAACAACAAGAGTGAGAATAGGATCATTAATAGAAGGTAATGAAAACACGTTATTTCTGAGAGTTGTTTGGTTTGAAAGAAAAGAGGATACAGTTTCCAAATAGAGTGAGTACTATGAAGTAAATGGAGGACCACATTCCAGACTTCACACCTCCTTGAGAGCGAATACCGTTATACATCACCTCGTTCCAGTCCTCTCCAGTAAGGATCTGTGAAAACACACACAGCACGGGATCATACCAAATCAAATCTGTGAAAAGCTAACTCAGGTATAGGAAGAAATGTACTAAATACATTGTGACTCAATAAGAACAAGCTTGGTAGGTTTTTTTCCAGACCTGAAAAACAGTCATGATAGCAGCAGGAAAGGTGTCAAAGTTCGTGGGTGTGTAGTCTTCAAAGATGAACCTGTGAAAAAAGGTTTGACACGTGTTACTGTAAAGCTGGATCTGTTTTAATTTAGCATTGACCTCAGAAAAATACTTTCTTTGTCTCTCCAGTGTTCTTCAGATCAATTTCTCACAAAGCCATGCTCCACCTCTGATAACTTTTATCAAATTAACAGAGGAAGCCAAGCAACAGTAGCTGTGTGAGCAATAAACATGCCTACCACATAAAATCAGAGCGTTTATGTACCAAAACAAAACCGTTTAATCTCTTTATATTCTTGATTTAAACCGTGTATTTGTTTTTGGGAATTTGCCCAGAGCCACTGTCAAATGAAAGCAACAATATCCTTTTTTGCATTAGATCTTTTCCTTTAATGGACTGAAATGCAATGCATCCCGCAAATACAATAATATTTTCTTAATTCAAGAAAACTGATTGCCTCTTTTAAAGTTACCTGCCGCCGAAAAGCTGCATGCCAAGGAGTGCAAAGACAACGATAAAGAGGAAGAGAAGGAAGATCAGGGAGATGATGGACTTCATGGAATTCATCAGGGAGACCACCAGGTTTCTCAGAGACGCCCAGTACCTGAGTGTAGCAAAGCATCACGTTCATATTCAAAATGTCACCGTCCAGAGATATGCTGTAAGAATTCTGACGCAAAAATGAGGAACAGGTACACGGAGCATTTTATCTTTTCAAAAAATCATCACCAAATTAAATATAAATCTCTGGTGTCTTCTTAAGATGCAGGCTATAAAATGTTGCTTTCAGATTTAATTTTAAATGGTACTTTAGATAGAAGACTAATTACAGTGTCTGTCCCATACCTCCTGCATTCCACACAGTGACCTAAAACCAATCAAAGTCTGGAAAGGCCTACATGCTAACAACACAGACAAAGAGTTTTACAGCCAGCTTTCAGTCATCTGTGTGTCTTGTGGCTATTATTCAATGGAAGCAGTAACTGTGATACTATGCTGGAAACAAACTGTGAAGATTTAAAAACGACCACTACGCTCATCATCTGTGTATCAAATGCACTGAGATTAAAAATGGTCTGTAATATTATTGCACAGAGTTTTTATTCTTGGTTCTTAACCTTTTCCACTTACCTTTCTTATTTATTCATGTCTATATTGAATGGAAACTACGGTAATAAAACATTCATTGTAAAATATTAAGATATCCTTGCAGCTGTATGCAAATAGTTCATTAAGAAAGCTGCAGCGCTAACTTTGTGATTTTGAAGATCCTCAGCAGACGAAGTGCACGTAGGACACTGATGCCGAATGAAGTTCCAGGCCGGAAGAATCCCCACAGCACTTCAAATATGCTGCCGACGATAACCTAGACAGGTATGAGATAAAAAAAACATTTTTAATAAAGTGGCTGAGGCTGCTGTGATGGACGGGAGAGAGAGGGCAGCACAGTGTTTTACATTTCAGTGACATAAATCTGTGGAGGGAAGGATAAAGTACTGACACTGCAGTCGAAGCAGTTAAAGGAGGAATGAAAGTAAAGGCGGGGCCCCAGGCTGTACATTTTCAGGAACATCTCCGTCAGGAACAGAGCGAGGAACAAAAACTCTGCATAGTCTGGAACAACAACAGGAACAGGTCAAACATGAAGCTGCTCGGACCGTACGGGGTTAATCTCACCAAAACAATCCCACTTTTCAGTTAGCATCATCTCATTCCAAAGATCAAGGCGGTGTGACTCACAGAGAAAGTTGGACAGCCACACAGGCTGGTTGTGGTGAACTATGGCTACACACAGTGTATTGAGGGCCACAAGGCCCAGCACTGTCCAGTAGAAGGTGTGTGTCTTCACCACACGGCGGATGGAAATGCGCAGGAGACGCTCTTTACGGCGGAAATAGGCCGTTGGGCCTCGTTTTGCACTCCTGATGCTGGCTCCAGGCATGGGCATGCCTAGTGGGGAGGAGAAAGGTTTAGAGTGCATTTAGTCACACAGCGTGTTCCCATCCTGGATCTAACTACAGCAAATATCAGTTAGTGTAAACTTTACATTTCATGTGCACGTATTTCTAGACTCCAACTCACCCACAGAGGATATGTCACCATACAGCTCCTCTCCCGGTTGGCCCTGGTGCACGTCCACACCTCTCCGTTTGATGGTCGTGGCTCTCTTTAACACTTAAGACAGAGCAGGTTGAACATAAAGTCCCAGAACAAGCTGTGAACCGTCTGTGAGGGTAGTGATGCAAAGCTGGCCATGGAAGAATGTTAGCTTTTTGCTTTAATTGCTCCAAATTGAATGTTTTTAAAAAAAATAAACATTTCTTGTTGACTGTCCAGATCCAAAATTGTCACGTGCATGGCTACCCTCACATCCTAACACTTTTAAAGATATTCACGGTTTGGCCCAGGCAGTCTACAAGCAGTAACTCTGACAGCGCCATGACAAGAATGCAGCAAATAATAGCAGCCATCTGCTCAACAAACCAATCTTAAGTGTCAGCTCAAAGGAGAAGAAGCTGTGCTCAATAAGGCCAAAGCTACATGAAAGAAAACAAAACGACAATTTAATGTTGAGCTAATGATCCAGAAAACGTTCCACTGGAATCTTATCCATCATAGCAAACCATGCTCCAAGGCAACTCGACACTCCATGCATTTCAGTTATGAGCGTTGAGTTCAAGTGCTGTTAAACGGTATGGACAATCCGTGCAGTGCACACATGCCAAAGTGAGCGTGAGCGTGTTTTGACCTTTCCACTGATGAGTGCGTGTGTGACTAGCTTCCTCCCTACAGCACCCGTGCCACTCACACCTTCTGCCGGTGATTTCTGAAACTACCTGGAGTCAATATTTGCTGGGGGACTTTTTAATAAGCAACCAATCAAACACACACACACACACACACAAACACAAACACACACACACGCGAGCACATCCATGTTGCTGCCTTTTCAGACCAGTGGTTGCTAAGGAAACTGCAGTGTGCCACCTTTCTTGATAATCAAAGCTATCAGAGCCTCTGCATTCATTTCCATCACAACAGAAGCTGCCGCCTGTGTCTGCTACAGATCACACAGCTTTATTTACCATGTCAAGAGCGTGCATGTCAAAATGTTTGCCTGCGTGCTTCCTGATGTCAGTGTGTGCATGTAAGCGTGTGTGTCTTTGCAGGGGAGGGAAAATGGGTTGTGAGGGGTTGTGTGGCTCAGTGCAGAGTAGAGGAGGGTTCTCACCATAAGCACCACCTGTACTCCACTCTGGGAGGCTCCTGAGAGCTGCCAATCAATCAACATTTAATAAAAGCATAAAAGCCCTGCTGGTTTGGTGAAAACAAAAGGTCAGTGTAGAGCTGAAAGGGTCAGGGCAGCACTGGCTACTGGGTGGAGACCCCGTCTCGGGCTTAAAACTAACTATGCTGCTCTGGGAATTGTTGAGAGATGTTATGGTACGATTCATTTTTGTGCTAGCATCATTAAAGCCGCTCCGTATTTTCATCTAATCACATCTTTTCGCAGTCATAGCAAACCTGTCACAGCTTGAACAGCACAAAGGCAAATCGTGTGAGTAAATCTTCTCAGTAAATCACGAGAATACGAAAAAAAACACAAGAACAAGTCAGTTTGCTCAGTGAAAACAGTTTCTGCCTTAGTTTTCATAACCATGCTCAGAAACCACATAATGCTACCGGGTTTTTTAATTTCCTCTATTCATTATATCGTTTTTGAGCATGTAAAGCTACGAAACCAAATTTGTCGTAATGAAACAGAAAATTGTTCATAGGGGCCATAACATACAAAATAAAATAGAGTTAAAATATCAAAAACCTTTTCTTTTAACACAACCAAAATAAAAATTATCAAACTGAAAGTGAGTATAAAATGGAGCTTTTGTCATGCTCACGAGAATGCCTAGAATAATAATTTTCTTTCATCTATGTTGAGCTGTCTTTGCAGTGCTTACAGCTACAAAAATAACCAACAGCACAGGTTTACGCTGAATAATCAGCATAATCTTATCTCAAAGTCACTGTCATTTTCACTACGTGTTAAGCCTAAGTAAAAATGTTGATTTTACAGTAAACTGGTCATAAGTACTGAAGATAATTTGACCGGCTGATCACATAAAAAGTCATAGTATTAAACAAAGCTGTTAAGCTATGTGAGATATTTTGAATTAAATTGTACCCGGATATGTTAACAGGTAAAGAGGATAAGAATAGCACTAATTTGATGATGATCTGAAGGATACATTTTTTTTTAGACAATTTATTTGTTTTTGGTTGCATGGGGAAAATACGTAGTGGACAAGTTTTTTAAAACTTTTTTTTTTTTTTTTACATCAATCAAATTGATGTTGTAAAATCAGAAAATGACCAAAGTAAGTCAAAATCATCCCTGTGGTAAGATGAATTCTATTCAAATATTTCATTTAAACAAAGCCTGTTAAAAAATGCCAGGATGACTTTTGAGTTTTTGGGGGTATTTTTCCATCAGGAAACTGAATTTTTAATTCCACAGCAACATATTTAACAAATATCGATGTCTGTCATTCTAAGCAGAGGTGGACCGACACTGCCATCCCTTGAGCCATGCAGCAAGAATGCCAAATATGATGAGCTGGGCTAAATTTAATTAAATTGGGAGTATCTACATCATAAGCAAAATCATTCAAATATCACAAAATAACAGCCCAGAATGTGAGAGCATATGTCTGAACCACTCTTATACAGCACATTGGTTAGCATGTGCAGAAACGCTTGAACATAAGGCAGACAAAATGCACAGCAAGGCCGCCAATAACAAAGCCATTTGATAACTTACCATCTAAAGCAGAAGGGCCAGGATTCTTATTTTCTTCTGCCAGCATTACTTCCTCTGGAAAGCAAAAAAGTTTATTCAGAACTGAGCATGACATGGTACAGATGGTAAGAGATAAATCAAACTTTGGTAACTGTATGTGTATCTGGCTGTAGCACAACAAACAACTAATTGGTTGCTCTGTTGTATAATGGAAAGGATTAGTCATTGAATTAATTAGCGACTTTTGGTCAGAAGCAAAAGCTTCTGTGGGAATGGGACCGGAGCCACCTGCTCGGTCGATCCAGGCCCGGTAGCCGTTGAGCTCTCTCTCAATCTGCTGCTGGCGGCGGAGCTTCATGAACGCTCTGCGGTTCTCCACGCGCTCCCTCTCTTTGGCAAATTCCCTACAGAAACAGACCAATCCACACAATATGTTTTCTAAATTGATGCTTAAAAGGTTTAATGTCATTAAGAGAAGTAACTTGGAGAGATTCACTGGTGAAAATGCAGGTATGTCTTGTCAGTCTTTCTTCCCTCACTGTTTGCTCTAACTTGAAAAAGAAGAAACCATTCAAGAGAATCTCTTTGAACTGTAAAGTTCATGAAAATGTATCCATCATCAGCATTTTAAAAAATGGATGGATGGACCTCAGCCAAACAAAAGGGCCATCAAGGAACATCCTAACGATCCATTTGAAATGTCTCTATACACACAGACTATCTGTAAATCTCTCAGGAAATTACACCTCTGACACTAAGTTGGATGACAGTAAGATTAAAGAAAACTTTTGTTACAGGCTAAGTAAAATCAGTAGGCTAAGGCGAATATGGCCTACCCAGAGAGGACTCCCAGCACTAGGTTCAGGACAAAAAAGGATCCGATGATGATTAGAGGGATGAAGTAGAGCCAGTTCCAGCTGGGGCCCAAGGCATCGTTGGTCTGAAACAGTCAGAAAGTTTGACACTCAGTGAAATCCAAACAAAAAAAGAACAGTGCATATGTTTTCGATTGCTTAGAGCTCCTGTTTTAGTGGGAGCAGGGAGCTGCATATGCTCAACACACGTATGGAACAGTCCCTATTGCGACACTTTTTATGCAACCTGTTCTCACTTCCATCCTGTCACATGCTGGCACCAGATCAGGAGCCTCTGCTGCTGTTTTAATGCAGAAGTGACACCCAAAGCATCACTTTTGGACAAGCAAGGTTTCCTGAGCTGATAAAGTAACTGTCACAGAACAGGGAAACATGGAAGATGCTGTGGAAATGCAACTTAATGGTTATTTTTAGGCAAAACCATGATGTTTTTCTAACTTTCATTAAAAACTGTCATAACTACTTTTGATAAGCAAACACAGAAATACACCAGTAGTGTGAAAGAAGAACACATAAAGCAAAACTGGACGAGATTGCAATTGAAGGCAGCTCTCTTGATTTGGAATGGGATGTTTATCCTCCTCTTCCTCTTTCTGATTTTGGTATGCATTCCTTGTTACTTGTTGACAAGTCAGGACAATAGGATGATGTTCACCTCTTGTCTATAACATTGGTACATCATATGTATTGTTTATCATTATGGAAAAAAAACTTTTTCTGAATGCTTAAAACTGGCACATCAGGTTCCAGTGTCAAAGACCAAACTGTTGAAGCATAGTAATTCCTTTAAATATAAATGTCTTAATCTCACAAATACGCTTGTTGTGTTTGGCCTGTAAATCCATTTTCCAAAAGGGCTACGTCCCGAAGTATATTGCATTATTTCAGTTGTGTTATATTGTGTAATAAAACATATACAGCAAACTGTACATTATACATCATAGTGTATGATATTCATAATACAGATTATTTCAGCATCAATCTTCAGTAATTATGTATGTGTTTAAAAAGAATTGTCGACATTAATTGTGTAACTTGTATTTTTTTAACTTTGATACAAAGTTATACGTTTATCAAACTTACTGTTATCATGTGTTTTGCAAAAAATTTATGAGGAAAAAAAAGTAGAAAACATTTAAACGTATGTCATGCAAATTTTGGAGTGGACAAAAAATAGAATCCGGAATTAAATCCATCACTAATTACAAAAAGTTACTTGTCAGTCCACTGGCTTTCTCCTGGTTTGGGATTCCCTCATTTGTGGACTGCCTGCACAACTTTGATTTAGTCAGAAAGATAAAAGTTTTACTTCTAAAACAGTTTTTTAAAAAAAAAGAAGTTTTGCTTCCTCCTGCCTCTAACTGCCTTTGGATCTTCATCATTTACAAATTCACATAACTGAGACACTTTTCTTCCGAAGGAAACTGTCTCCAGACATGTAACACTTTAGACTGCAGCACATCTGTCATTCTGACAAAGAACAAACACACCTAAACTCTATTTTATGGCTTTTCAAATCATATCAAATTAGCTAGGAATGCCTCTGCCTCCCATTCTGTCCTCAGCATCAGATGTGTGTGTGTCTGCTCCTCTTCTCTGACTCAGAGGCACTGCACCAACTCCTCACTGTCTGTTATACTGCCTC